GCACATAGGAAGTGCTTGATGAGGGGTAAGCATGATTCATATATTTTCCTGGTATCATACTCAGATATGTATTTAGTGCCTACGTATGTCAGTATCTGTTAGTGCTACAGCGATGAACAGGACATGATTACCACCCACAGTTGCAGTCTGTCAGAGGAGGAAAGCCTGGTAAACAATCCAATGAAATGCAACAGGGTGAGTACTTTGAGAAGGGTAAGTACAGCACATCCTAGGTGAACCCCTAACCACATGCTGGGGCCATGGAGGGTTGATGGCATCTTCAACATCGTTACCAGCTCTGCCAAGACCATACTGAGAGTAGCTTCAATCCTAGATTTTTTTTGTCATCAGTAATCTGCAAAATATGTCAGCCTCCATGTTGAAAGTTGTATGGTTTGATGGTATCCATGTGACAGTGCGTATGGCCTTCACCTCCATGATCAGTACGGGTGGTACCGTTGCTGTTGACTCGACTCTTCGTGCCCTAGTGGTGATCTCTGATGTCTTAGACATGAATCCTTAGGGTTGGTGGCATTGATCATCCACAAAATTGTAGTTCTGCTTTCTGTGCTAACTATGAAGTGGCCCACTAATATCTCCAGGGTGATACCTTTTGCAGGTGCATCAAATGTTTGGGGTGTTGTGATGTTATGATTGGTATTTTCAAAAGAACAGAGTGTGTGCATGTAACCACGGGCTCTTGGCTAGGTCCCAGCAACAGCTTTTTGTAGGTTACACTATTGTCGATTTTCTGTTTCGGTTCTCCACAGAATTCTACAACCTGTAACTTAAATATCAGACAGTGGAAACTGAAATTGCATTAGTCAAAGAGAACAAAATCAGTGCTGAAAAATGCATGAATTATAGATGTTGATAGCTACCCAGATGTTGTATCTATTACAGTCATTGAAACACCACATTCTTCACTTTGTTCCTCTTTTCTGTGACCTCCTTAGGGTCAATGGCAACTATCAAATTCCCTTTGGTTCGTTGATAACTGGAATCGTTAGAGGAGGAGTGGCTGTGGCTCTTTCCACCAAGAGCACATGTCATTGTCTTTAGGTTTTCTTTTTCTTTCTTTTTTTTTTTTTTGTCTCAGCCTATGTGTTGGCGGAGATGCCCTCTTGGCTAAATCATTCTGTGTCTTATGAAGAAGGGAGTATTTTGTAAGTGGTTCTTTGATATCCTGAGGCTTGGCACTGGGGAACACACTCGGTTGAAGATAGTCCAAAATAACACAGCGGCTTGGATTCCCCGAAGATCAACCTCAGGAAAGGTTACCTGATACTGCCTGGCTTCCCCAAACTTGTTCCTTCTGCTCTTCTCTGCCTTCATGGAAATTTCGTAGTATTGAAATTTTGCTGACTTTCAAGGAAGAAATCTGGCTTTTGAACCAGAACGAGGAGCAAACAAAACAAGCACAATTACTAGATACATCCTGAGGATGCTCAGAGGGAACCTGTGGCTTCAGAAATTCCTGTTGGCTGAGGCCCCCAGAAACTGCGCCAGACTCTCTGTGGCTTGGATGGGACTTGAGATTGTGTCAGCTGCTCAGGTGAAGGTCCCACACTGGGTCTGCTCCCATCATGCTCTACCAGTTTGGCTTTGGGGCCCACACTGGGTGAGGCGTGGCCCTGTGGGTAGTTAAAGATGGAGCCCCGGTACCTGCTTTGTGTCACATACGCCCCAGGTGCTTGAGATCAACACAGGTGTGTCAGCCGGGCTGCAGTCCATATGGGGAGCTGGCTCACAGCAGAGGTAGAGGGAATGGATTGTTCTGACAAAAGCAATTCATATGTTACTCATATCTAGTTACAGCTCCTGACACACAGCAGCAAAGGCCCCAAGAGAAGCCTAGACACATCTAGAGAAAAATCAGGCCTTTTTATTATGAGGCCCAAATCAGTAACATAAACCATGTAGAGACTGTAAAGGATTAGCCCGCCTCTTTGTCTGGTTTCTCCTTGAAGGAGTCAAACCTTGCCAGATGAACAATCTGTCATACTCAGAGAAGTAGGTTATCCTAGACTGTCGATCTCGTTCCTTCCCTTCTCCTCCACTGGAAGCTTCAAGTCCCCTCTCCCTGCCCCGACCAGCTCAAGAGCCAGGGCCTGTGAGCTTTGGAATAAACTTAGGGTGGCACGTGGCAGTCAGCAGTACACACTTCAGGACCACCTGGAATTCATTTGAATATGTGCCACTGTGCCTGGCATATGATAGGTACTTAATCAGTTGCTCTATTACCTATATAGCCAAGTTTGACTCTGATTTCCAGAAAGTCTAAAGAAAGTGAGAGACAGAATTCTTTTTGAAGTATTTGTTACAATTTTTCTCAAAGCAGCTGATGGTCATGAGCACTAGAAGTTTTCCATTTGCTGCCTTTTATAAGATGAGGCAACTCTGACCCAGAGAGACGGACATTTTTATGAGATTCGAGTGTCCATGGGGACAAATAATTTTCTGTTATTGCTCACAGCACAGAGAGATGGTTCTTTTCACAAAGATCTAGAGTTCTTCCCAGGATTATGTCATCTCTGACCTTTTCCCTCCCGGAATAAATTTATATTCTAAGATTCTGTAACAGAAGCAAATCCTCAACTCATACATACTTATCAATGGTGATTATAAAGGGGATGTAGAACAGTACAGCATTGGGAGAATGTCTTAGTCTATTCACGCTGCTATAACAAAATACCATAGACCTTATAAACAATGGAACTTTATTTGTCACAGTTCTTGGTCTGGGAAGTCCAAATTAAGGAGTCAGCAGATTCAATTCCTGGTGAGGACCTGTTTCCTGGTTCATCAACAGCTGTTTTCTCCCTGTGCCTTCACGTGCTAGGAGGGCTGAGGGAGCTCTCTGGCATGTTTTTTTAATAAGGACTCTCATCCCATTCATGAAGTTCCATTGTCATGGCGTGAGCACCCCCCAAAGTTCCCACCTGCTCACACCATCACCTTAGGGATTAGGTCTCAACATATATATATTTTAGTGAGTCACAAGCATTCAGTTTATAGAATATAGGGGCATTCAGGAAAAGAAGTACAGAAGTGAATTTTAGCATCTACAGTTCCTGGTTAATTAGCAGACAGAATGGAAAAGCCACAGCTTTTGTTAATTCCCATGCTATTTGGCTACATTGTGTTTACCCCATGGATTATGTAAGATTTCTAGCAGCTTTGGGGAAATGCTTTCTCAATGCAAAATGATTCCAAAGTGCGTGCTCATCACGTCGACTCTCCTGGGCTGCTCCTTGAAATGCAGATTCCAGGACTCTGACCCAGCTCTACTTAATCAGAATCAGAAGCATTAGCCCAAAAGACTCTGTATTTTGAATAAGCTCTCCATGTGGCTCTTATTCCCCATCATAGTTTGAGAATCTATGCCAAAACCCCAAATCAGGAGCAAGCCCAGAGAGTCTTGAACTTTCTTGCCCTTAAACAAACAAAAAAAAAAAGTTAAGTCAACAGAAAAGAGCCTGGTCGCTTTGGTATGGTCTTTAAATCTCCTAGAGAACTCTGTGTACAAGAGCTGTAATGAGACCCATAAGGAGAAAGCTGTGATAGGACAGGTTTTCACTCAACCCGCAGCGCTAGTTGAGTGAGATCGATAATCTTTGCCAAAACCGAATTGTTCCGACCTGCCACAAATAACTTAGTATTTTAAAGCCCCCATAATACAGCCAGGAGCTCCAGCCAATTCAGGGAGCCTTTCCAATGTCAGCGTCAATTGATCTGAGGTAGTGAAGAGACTCTAAGGTTATATTGTAACTTAGTTAATGAAGCGAATGAAGAAAAGTGAATCATAGGAACATACTAGAAAAAAAGATAGAAAATTTTAGCTGTTTTGACACAATATACCAACCTCACCAAAGAATTGTTACTCTTCCATTATAAAAACAATGTCAATAAACTGATTACTGAGTACCACCAAATGTAATGGTGTTTAAGATGACTCATTGCACATACAAAAAAAAAAAACTCTCAAAATGAGTGCCTTGAAATATTAGCACCAGAATATGAATGAAACTCAATAGAGGTTTTCCATCTTTAACTATAACCCTAAAATTTATACTACATTATCAATACAAAGTTTTATAGGTAAAAGAACCTTTTCTAAACTATCAAAGATATTTTAAAATTGTGATCAATCACACTAAAGACTGCATTATCCTTCCATTCCCTTTATTAAAAAAATCACAAACCATTGTTATATAAAGGGGCGTGACACAATTTTATAGGTCAAGCATTATTCTGGATGTTTTTGTGAAGGTTTTTTTGGGGGGAGGGTGAGATTAACATTTAAATCAGCAGACTTTGAGAAAAGCTGATCACCCTCCAGAGTGTGGGTGAGCCTCATCTAATCAGTTCAAGGCCTAAAAGTCAGAAGAATTCTGCAGCCAGGCTGCCTTTGGACTCAAACTGTGGCTCTTCTCTGAGTCTTCAGCCTGCTGACCCATCCTGTGTATTTTGGACTTACCAAGTCTCCACAATAGCATGAGCCAATTTTTTTAAATAAATTGATCAATAGATGATACATAGGTAGGTACGTAGATAGATAGATATAAAGAATGAACAATGCCTTGGGAAAGGAGGCAAGGATGAGCAGACTGTATGGAACATGTGTGAGATGTGATACCTCCAATGTATTTCACAATGTTCATAAAACTTTAAGGCAAAATTCTTAAGCGAAAAGAATTTGTTAAAGTGAGAACATGATATTTAGAGACCTAGTTCCCAATAACAGTGCCTTTGGTTATTGAATCCTGAGCTAGGTCAATGTTAGAAAGGAAGACCTGGGAGAACTCTGGAAGTCATTAAGGTAAAATTCATTTTATACTTAGTGTTTTAGCAAGCTATTTGTTTTAAAGAGATGAAGAGTTTAAAGAATTCTTCTACTAATAAGATTGTTTAAGAGTAAGGTTAAATGTAAAGTAAATGGATAAATAATTCTCATTTTAAAAAAATTTACACTTAACAAAATCACCAAAATACAAATCTGTTAAAAATAGACCTTGTCTTTGATGTTTATTTCACATTATCTAAGTACATCCAGTTATGCAAATTTACATTTTTATTTCACATCTTTGCATTTCTGATATGCATATAACAGGACAAAGAACACCTTTGCAATATTCAGCCTCAAAATCCTGCTTGGAAAAAAAACAGATTCTCAGCTTCCTTATTCTTTCTGCATATGTACAAATACAATTCTAAATAATTGGAGTGAAAATCAAAATTGGTAAAAAGACAAAGTGACTAAATTTTTATGCTATCTGACGTTATTTGGACTTAATTGTTTTTAAATGGTCCTCTAATTACTGAACTATTACTCAATAGGTAACATTTCTTTGGGAGCTCCTTAAACTCTTTCAGGAAGCTTAGTTGGTTGTTTCTGGGACTCTTTTAATCTGCATGAAGTTGACAATAACTATACACCAGTGATGCATAAGTGTTGACATTATCATCCTATGTATTCACCTAAGGTTTTTAAAAGTGGTAATCAGTATCTTCTCTCTTTTGTGAAAGTATCTTGCCAGGCTAGAAAATGAGCAATTATTTCTTCAATTAGGCAAAGAAAAGGCACAGACCAGTGCAACACAGTCCTAATTTTAAACAAAACAATCAGATTGAATTAAAGACCTTAACATTTTAGTTATAATTTTATGAAATTCAAATATATCTAAATCACATTGTGATACTACATGACCACATGTTCATTCTGTTCAATATTGTTCATGAGATCTTTTGTATCACTAATTCCTGCATTTGATCTACTGTTAAAATAGAGGGTGTTTTCAAAAGTATTCTCTTGAGGTAAATGCACACGTCTCTTCTTATAAAACCAATACGCAGCAAGGCCAGCACCCATTACAGTCAGGAGGACCACAATGACGACTACCCCTGCCACACTGGAAGACTTTTTAGATGGGTCCATCTTTCTTGGATAAGCTAGAAATAAACAAAACCATTAGGAACAAGGAGGAGTGAGGCAGAGGGTAGAAGGCTATGGAGAAAAACATAACCTTTTTTGAAAAACTAAAATGCATGAATATTCTTTACAATGACATTTGTCAAACAAATGCAGGACATGAAAACAGAATAGAGGATTATTTTAGATGTTAAGATTATTATTCAGTTGCAAGAATATTTCGTTTATCTATATAGCGTGGAGCTACATAGATAAACTATGTTTTAAAATATTTATACCTGCTTCAAAATAATTTACGGCCGCTTACAAATACATTATATGAAGAAAAATAGAGTAGTAATAACGATGATGATGATGATGATGATGACAATAAAAAAAGCAAGGGAAAATATTAGGGGAAAGAGAAAATAAGAGCAGTAGCAATTTGGGCTCATGAATGTAATTAGTTAACAAACAGCACCCATGAGGTTAACAGGGAGATTGCAGTAAGCCAAAAATCTCACTGTTTTTTAGTAGCCAACCAAATGAGTGAAATAGGATGTTAACTAATTCAAGATATGTAAAAAATTAAAATTAAAACCATTGTTTAAAAAGAAAAAACAACCCACAGAGATTACTGGGAGAAATTTCTCCTATGGATTCTTATAAGACAACTCTTTGTAACAGAGCAATAAATGCCTTTAAAAACATCGATGGTAAAACCACCAAACTGCCCCCAAACCCTGCTTTTCTAGAGCTACAATCAAGGGAGGCTGATGACATAATGACAAAGGTTAGTGTAGGTCAAGCCAAGTCGACTGAGAGCACGGGCGACGTAGGAAGGGATTATTATGATTTTTTTTTAACGAAACTATATTGATAGATTACTAATAAGAAACTTGAAATTTCATAATGGTCTTACCTTTTGTTGTCATTAATGTATGGGTAGGTTCAGCATCAATAACTGTTTGTAAAATAAGAAATTTATTAAATACTTGTAAAAACCCATAATAATTGCATATAGATAGTATTATTTGGTTCATAGATATATCAAATCCTCCATGTTTGGATTATGGTCATATGACATGCTATGATGTGATATAGATAGATCAGATTTATCTATTCTATAACAGCATCCTACAACTGTATGGTGAGTTTGAACATATTGGAAGATCTAAAAATCCAGGGGTGGGTCAAAGCAGGTTTACAGTTGTAATACAAATAAATAATACAATAATTAATAAATAATAATATAGGAATAAACTATGTTTTGTGCACTCACAACTTTAAACCTACTTTTGCCCACCCCTATATAGTCCTCAGATTTGCATTTGAACCACTGATACTGACCCTCAAAAATCTACCCAGTCTACCCATAAACAATGTATTCTAGGCTAGCAGTTCTGAAACTGGCCCATGGAAACATTAGGTATTATGAACATTTGAATGAAAGTGAAATAAGATCCCAACATTGCACCAAAGAGTATGTGTTTAAAAGGCCGAATAACTATAAAATTCTAAAATAATAAAAATCTACAGGGGATAAAGTGTTTATCTAATTCATTTATTTTTATATATTATCAAATTAATAATTTCATATGTTGGGAAGGCTGTGTGAAGAGGAATGGCATAAAAATATTATTAAAGTCCAAATAGTATCATATCATGGGCAAATAACACTATTATCCTGTTATTCCATGGTCTGCCACTCAGGTCTCAGAAGGAGGCTTCATTTGTCTTACAAGGTTTATTCCTTAAATCTTACATGATTTATTGTAATAAACTCTGATTCCCTTCCAGAGCCCTGCCCCTCCCAGTTTGTCAAGGTGACTGTTCCGCCTTTTCTTTTCATGCTATAAGTCTTTGTAGCCTGGCTCTCCAAACTACTTGCAATTTTACAAACCCATATGAATGGATATCTCATTATAAGTGGGTTGATAAATCAAAATAGTTATGTCAGCTAAGCAGCCAGGGAGTGTTTTATGCTCACTCAGAGCCACAGACAGCAATTGATCGCCGTGGTAGGCTGTATTTTTCACTTATGCAGGGGAGAGCTTGCAAGGGACCTGTAATCACATTATAATCCCACACCTGACATCTTAATATTAGAAAGCAATGGTGGCCTGCAAACATGTGTACCACAGGGCAAATTTCTACTTACTTTTTGGTCTTTTACAAATATATCCTTTGTAGGAAGAACAGTGAATATTACTCCAAAATCCAGAAGATGCAATCAAAGATACACAATCATTTCGTTCACTAGAGGGGTCTCCTGTGTTCCAGTTGACAAAGGAGACTGGGTTGTTGTTTATCCACATCCACTTTCCTGATTATCAAATATAGCCAATAAAAATATAAGTTAAAAAAACCCATCTTAAAATAAGATCAACTTATCCATGTAAAACTTCAAAGCATACTATTTTATACTACAATCAATATTTGTTTACAGCCACATGGAGCAGGCTGAAAATGACCAAAGGGGATGGGGAAAGAGGACAATGGTGGAAAGAAGGGGAAGGGACTAGACAAGGAACATGTATGAATGATCCATGGACATGGACAACAGAGTGGGAACTGACTGTGGGAGCGGGGGGTGGGGGTTGGATGGGTGGAGGGGAATAAAGGGGTAAAAATTGAGACAACTGTAATAGAATAAGCATGATTTATAAATTTTAAAAAATAAAAATAAAAATGTAAAAAATAAAATAAAATAAAAATAAATAAAAAATATTCGTTTACAGCCAGACTTTTAATAGATGAAATTATAATTACTAATTATTACAAGTAAGGAAAGTGAGAATATGTTTCTTATACAGCTTTAGTTGAAAATTTATTCCTAATTAATACAAACTTGTATACTTTTCTCTCCCTAAGTTGGTTTTTTTTTTCTGGCAGAGACAGAAAATATTTTTAAAGCTTCTTAAACTAACTTAGCTGCAGAAAATATTACTTTAACTAGCAACTTTCAGGATAGGAAAGTATATGGGTCATTTAAAATTTCAGTTCTTATCTCAAATGAAAATATTTTGAATTTTAAAACTTTACAAATTAACCACTATTTAAGGCAAGACCTCTGGAACTGAAACCTTCTTTAACATACAATGGTTTGAAATACTTGTGATTAAATAGTCATCCTGCAAAAATTACCTTCAACATTTCTGTACAGTCCTATCCAAAAATTGGTTTTGCCTTGAAGTGGCTCAACTCTATATGATAGAAAACTCGATTCAGCAGCACTTTCAATGGAAACCAAAGAGGAACCTGCAAAATATAAAACAGCAAATATTGTGGGAGTACATTTAAGTAGCTGAAAGTATTTTTATATTGACAGTATTTATATTAAGAGCAATATAAATCATTCTATTATATCCACTTGAGGGGAACAATTTTAAGGAGTAGACATTCATCTTTTTAGAATTTCAGTCTCTATTCTGCAAATACATTTTTAAAGCATCATTTGTGCACAACTACTAAACAAGCTGCTGCAGAACATGCAAAAAGAAGTAGCACACAGAATGTCTTGAGAGGTTATAGTAATGTAGGTAGCAATGAGTTGAGAGTGATAGAATGTATTAGAAAATAAAATAAGTACAATATGCTATTGATGCATCAAACAGGGAGAGGATTTGTTTTAGGTGAAGCAACTAAAAAGAAACATGGAGAAAATAGAATTTAAGATATCAAAAGGCATAGGATTTCAAGCAGAAAGGATAGAAAATAATTTCAGGAAGAGGAAGAATAAGAGAAAAGACAAGAAAAGAAGAAAGCAAAGAGCTTCAGGAATAGAGATGACTCACGGAAACATGGAACTCTTTATATCGGTTTATGGTGATACGATATAGATAGATGATACACACATACATATATACATACATACATACATACAAATACCTACGGGGAGAAATTAATAGTGTTAATAGATAGTGCAGTTTGGCTGGACTAATATGGTCAATGGATGAAACAAGACTTGGGTTTGGCCTCACTGTAGATGGCAGGAAATTGGTACTTGGGGCACTGTGGTGACAACACTTAGTTTTTTCAGGCAGCAGAACGATGCAATGCACTGCAGGAGTATTAATCCAGCTGTTACGTATAGGACTGTACAAAGTAAGAAGAGAAATACTGAAAAACTGGTTAAACGACTATGGCATTGACAACACACATTAGATTAACACTGATTGTCAGCCTTAGATTTTATAGTAAATAGCTATGGCTTTATAATAGTAACAACAAATACACTTTTGGCACTTTATGCCAGACATTTTGCTTTGGGCTATATAAGCATGATCTCACTAAATTTTTACTACAGCCTTATTAAGTGGGTACTATTGGTACATCATTTTATAGTTAAGTAAAATATAAAATACAGAAGGTCAATCATTGCTAAGATTTTTAATGATAGTAGAGGGCAAAGTCATGGCATGATCTAGGCATTCTGAATTTTGAGGGCCTCCACTTAACCATACACCTGCATCCCATGTTACTGGATCCTGGATTGTACCCTTGATATTTGTTTTCATTGCATGATTACACAGTCCATTAGTAGAAACATTTCATAGGCAATAGCCATTTCAAAATATTTATGACATATTTTGATAAATGAGAATACTCACATTGTTTACAGAAAAATACAGTCACCTACAACAATTTCTACATATTCATTGCAAAATTTTTAAAAGTACTCAAACATGAAGGCAAAAAAAATTTAATTTAAAAAATCCTAGGCAGAATTAGGTGCCATCATAAGGAATGGCAAACTAAGGACACCTGAGAATCCTCTACCCCACAAAAGCAATAAGAACACCAACAGATTTGTCAAAATCAACTTTTTTGAACCTGAAAATTAGCCAATGGCTTTTAACTATCCAGGAAGCATTTATTCAAAATAAAGACTTGGTAAGAACAGTGAGCTTAATGGCGTTATAACTCATCTTAATCTCATTGTCTTATCGATAGCTCTGTAGTTTTCTTAAAAATCAAGAGCCCCCAATTCAAAGTGAAAACCAGCAGCCTAGAAGACACTGGAAAAGTCAGAATGGTGTTGAAGTTTTCCCAAAGTCACTTATCAAAGAATTTCCATTACTTGATATCTTTGACAGTTCTCTGGAAAACCTCATTTGCAAAACTTGCCTTTATTTGACCTGACACAGAACTCCTCTAGTGCAAACAGTCTTTACTTGGGGGTGCTTTTTAGGAACTATCAGTGGAATTGTGTAACATCGCAGTTGACTGAGGCAGTGATAAGAGTGAAGGGAAATAAGCAACCAAAAAAAAAATGTAAAAGAAAAAACTAAGGACTAAGATGTATATAGGGACATTTTAAAAACATTGGCCATTTCCTGGGAATCTAGAAGGCCACAGAACATGCATTGGGTAGGTACCTGCCCAGGATATGTGCATTCTCATGAAAAATATGAGAAATGCCTAAGCTCTCACCTCTGGCTGACCTTGAGGCACTGCACAAGCATAAAGTGAAGGCTAAGGCAGAGTTTTAAACTGTTGTTTTTGTTGATAATTCTTTTAAAAATCTTATCTGATCTAAATATGCTGCATAAAGCAATAATTATAAATCTGTGCTGACGAACATACAATGTATAAAGATGTATTTGTATGACAACAATATCACAAATACTGGCAATCCCTATCTGGCAATATATTAAACATATACAACACAGTCAAGTGGAATTTATCCCAGGAGTAGCAAATTTGTATGACATTCACAAATTAATATATGTAACATACCACATTACACAAAATAAAAGACAAAAAAAATCACCTAATCATATCAACAGATGTTGAAAAGGCATTTGACAAAGTCCAGCACTCATTTATGATAAAAACACCCAGTAAAGTGGGAATAGAGGGAGAATACCTCAACATAATAAAGGCCATATACGAGAAACCTATTGCCAACATCATACTCAATGGCCAAAAACTCAAAGCATTTCCCTTAAGATCAGGAAGAAGACAAGTGTGCTCGCTTTCACCACTTTTATTCAAAATAGTTCTAGAAGTTCTAGCCACAGCTATTAGACAAGAAAAAGAAATAAAGGGCATCCAAATTGGAAGGAGGAAGTAAAACTGTCATTATTTGCAGATGTCGTGAGAGTGTACATTGAAAACCCTATAGTCTCCACCAAAAAACCACTTGACCTAGTAAGTGAATTCAGCAAAGTAGTGGGTTACAAAGTCAATACCCAGAAATTGATGGCATTCTTGTACACCAACAATTATCAGAAAGATAAACTAAGAAAAAGCCCCATTTACCATAGCAATAAGAAAAATAAAGTACCTAGGAATAAATTTAACCAAGGATATAAAAGGCCTGTACTCAGAAAACTAAAGAACACTAAAGAAAGAAATTAGGAAGATACAAATAAGTGGAAGCATATACTGTGTTCATGGACTGGAAGAATTAACACGATTTAAATCTCCATACTACCCGAAGCAATCTATAGATTCAATCCAATTCCTATCAAAATACCAATGGCATATTTCACAGATATAGAACAAGTATTTCAAAAATGTATATGGAACCCAAAAAAGACCCCAAATAAGCCTCAACAATCCCTGAGAAAGAAGCACAAAGTAGGAGGGATCACAATACCTGACATTAAACTATACTACAAGGCCACTGTAATCAAGACAGTCTGCTACCAGCATAAGAACAGGCACATAGATCAATGGAACAGAATAGAGAACCCACAAATAAATCCACATCTTTATGGTCAATTAATATTCAACAAAGGGGGCATGAGCATACAATGAAGTAAAAACAGTCTCTTCAATAATGGTGTTAGGAGAACTGGACTGGTACATACAAAAAAATAAAACAAGGCCACCAACTTACACCACACACCAGAATAAACTCAAAATGGATAAAGAACAAATATAAGTCATGATACCATAGAAGTCCTAGTAGAAAACAAAGGCAGTAAAATTTCAGACATCCCATGTGGTAATATTTTTGCCAATATATCTCCTAGGGCAAGGGAAATAAAGGAAAAATAAGCAAATGGGACTACATCAAATTAAAAATCTTCTGCATGGCTAAAGAAACCATTATCTAAATGAAAAGGGAACCAGCTGTATGAGAGAACATATTTGCCAATGATACATCAGAGAAGTGTTTGATCTCCAAAATACATAAAGAACTCACACGACTCAACACCAGGAAGACAATCCAATTTAAAAAATGGGAAAAGGATTTGAATAGACGCTACTCCAAGAAGGACATACAGATGGCCCACAGACATGAAAAGATGCTCAACATCACTAGCCATCAGAGAGATGCAAAATAAAGCCACAATTAGATACCACTTCACACCTGTCAGAATGGTCATCATTAATAAATCAACAAACAACAAGTGCTGGCGAGGATGTGGAGAAAAGAGAACCCTAGTACATGATTGGTGGGAATGCAGACTGGTGCAGCTACTGTGGAAAAGAGTATGGAATTTCCTCAGAAAAATTTTTTTAATGTTTTTTTTATTTTTATTTTTTGTTCAAATACATTTTTCTCCATCTTCCCACCACCACTTTCTCCTGAATAGAACTTCCTTATGACCCAGGAATTCCGCTGCTGGGAATATACCCTAAGAATCATGAAACACCAATTCTAAAGAACCCATGCACCCCTATGTTCATAGCAGTGCTATTTACAATAGCCAAGTGCTGGAAACAGCCCAAGTGCTCATCAGTAGGTGAGTGAATTAAAAAACTGTGGTAAATTTACATAATGGAATACTACACAGCAGAAAGAAAGAAGGAAGTCCTACCTTTTGCAACAGCATGGATGGAACTGGAGACTATAATGCTAAATGAAATAAGCCAGTGGGCAAAAGACAAGTACCATATGACCTCACTTATAACTGGAATCTAATGGACAAAATAAATGAATGAGAAAAATAAAACCTCGGACATGAAAATGTGGAAAAGACTAATAACTGTAGGAAGGGAGGAGAGAGTGGAAAAATGGCGGAAGGAAGGGGAAGGGACTAGTCAAAGAACATGTATGAATGACTCATTGACATGGACAACAGTGTGAGGACTGACTGTGGGCAAAAGGGGTGGGCTGAGTGGAGGGGGGCAAAAGGGAAAAATCTGGGACGACTGTAATAGAATAAATAATAAAAAATAAATTAAAAATAAAGAAGCCACAGATATAAAAAAAAGAATACACAGTCTTCTCAAGCACACATGAAACGTTCCCAAGACTTATATGTTGGACCACAAAAAAAGTCCCTGTAAATTTAAGATTGAAATCATATCAAACGTTTTTTCTACCCACAATGGTATAAAATTGGAAATCAATTACAAGAAGAAAACAAAAAATCACACATATATGGGGATAAAACAACATGATACTGAACTATTAATGGGATATATATACAATGAAATATTACTCAGCCTTTAAACAGATAGAAACCTGCCATTTCCACAACATTGATTAACCAGGAAAGAATTATGCTAAGTGAAATAAGCCAGAGACAGACAAATACTATGTGGTATCAGCTTTATATGTGGAACTTTAAAAAAAAATAGACTTGCAGAAACAGAAAGAAAGAAAAGAAAGGGGAATGGTGCTTGGCAGGGGCTAAGAGGTACAGAGGAAATAGGAAGAGCCTATTGTAAAAGGGTGCAAACTTTCAATTATAATATGAATAAGGTCTGAGGATCTAATATATAACATGGTGACTACAACTGATAACATTGTATTGTATAACTGAAATTTGCTAAGAGAGTAGAACTGAAGTGTTCTCACCAAAAACAAAAAAAAGGTATATATGTGAGGTGATGGACATATTAATTAATTTGATGGGGAGAGCCCTCTCAGAATATATGTGTAACAAATGATTATGTTATACACTTTAAATGTACTATAATTTTATATCAATTTTACCTTAATAAAGCTGAAAAAATATAAACATTAAAGAGTCAAAACTCAAGGTTAACTTTTTAATGAACCTATAGGATATGAGGATACAACTCTTGCACACCACCGTTGGATGAAGAACCCTGATTTAGGGCATAATCAAAATTTAGTAAAAAAAAAAAAAGTAAAATATTCAATAAGCTTTAAGTGAATTTTTAAATGTACCCTAAGAAATTAACTTTTTCGGCATTTTTATTTCAGGGGAAAATTATCCATTTATGTCATGTTTGAGTTTTCTTTTGTTTTTCTTCACAAATAAAATAATCAAATATAAATGCTTGTCCATTTATGGTAAAACAAAATGGTTCTTGAACACTTGAAAACCTGAGCTTATTGGTGACCATATGCAAATACAATACTCTGAATACCTGAAAATGAGAATCCTAACAATTTAGTATATTAAGGCTTAAAGTAAGAAAGACTTGTTCAGTAAATGATTATTTTCTTCCACACTTGTTAAGATTTTTGAGGCTACAATATTAGAAAATACATTTTGGGGACATGATGTTGACCATTCTGTTATAATATAAATTATTCAGAAAAATTAACAGGTATTTTTACATTCTTTCTGTTTTTAATGTATCGTGTTATTAGTATTATGTTAATCCAGAATAGATGATAGTGGGATTTTCTTACAGTAAATGTGACACTCACCCATGCGAAGACATTCCAGAGATGCTTGGCCCCAGTGTCTTGTATATGAAGACTCAATATAGTAGCAGTGGCCATGAAAAGGAATCCACGCTGTGTGATCTGACTCTGGGCATCTGCCAGGCAGCTGGGGAGGTTCAGTGGCAGGGATTTCTGTTAATAAAAAGACATTTAAAATAAAGTAAAATCTGAAGTTTCTATAGTATGTAGAATAATGCCTATAATTATTATTTTTAAAATTCTAATCATTTGAGCCTGTTATTTTTATTATTGGGTTTTTATTTACTTAATTTTTTAATTTTAAATATATTTCAACAGAATGTACTGAAGAATGGTGGCAATCAATTGCACTCATAATTAAGAATGTAGCTCCATAGATACCCAGAAAGCTGTTAAGTACCAAAAACAAAGTAACCCAAAAACAATTTGCAAAGATAGGCCCCCTTCAGGACATTCTTTTTTGGCAAGTGAGGGCGTGGGTTTTAATCCCTACAACCCTTATTAGCTATGACTGTTCAATTCTAAGACAGCATGCTAGGATGCTATCACCATAATATCACCAACTGATGAATCTACATGCATTCTGATCAAATTATTTTGATATAGTTATGCTACTGACATTGAAAGTAACGATAATTTCCTAAGGAATCCTACATAGATTCAAAGAAAAATTTCAATTATAAAAATTCAGAAATTCAGAAAAAGAGCAAGTCAACTCTTGCAATGAAGAAAAATTTCTATCTCCATTATTTTGATTTATGTGTATTTATTTATTACCAAATCAATCTTTTGTTAGGTGAAAGAATATGTTTTATTTTATTCTTAAGCTCTCCAAGACATGTTATGGTTTAATAATATAAACAATAGTATGTACTAACTTATCGAGAAAATTACAAATGCCTAGATTGTTTTTGTATATTCAATTACCATCTGATCTTTTGCAGAGAAAATTAAAACTTTCATTGCAATGTGCTGTCTTCCAGGTGCCATCAAGATCCAGATAAACACACGCTGATTTCAGTTTGGGCTCATCGGCAGCCCAATTAGTGTATCTCACCCTCCATTTATCAGTCCAAACATAGTCACCATCGGTCTGCAAGAACGAAAACGAACATTAACATGGAGTCATGCTTCATTTAGAAAATGCCAAAAGAACCAAGTGAAGACTTAAAAGTGTATTTAAGACCATGATTTGACAAAGAACCTTCAACACTGAGGAATTTTAAAAAAACATCATGGATCATTTCTACTAACTCAAATTCAGTAAATGCAGCCTTTCTTAGAAAGAAGACTACAGTGAATACATCCTTGGCAGACAATTTGAAAAACTGACCTAAAACCCTTGTCATATTCTGTGAAACTCTTCTTATTTCAGTGCCAAACAAAAGTTTTATCTTCCAAAGAAAATATTTATTGTATTGCCATTGAGATAATAATAAAATTTAAATAATTTTCATTGAACTCATGGACCCTGGAGAGAAACACATTTGTTCTAATCTTGTTGTTTGGCTGTTGAAACAGGACAGTGACAAATGACTTAGGTAAGGTCCTATGGGTAAAGAACAGAGGGGTATAGGTCTCACCTTCCAGTTACCAGATCTTTCAACCATAACTGATCATGATGCATTTTTTTAAAAGCTTATTGTTTTATTCAATCTACACATTTGATTTCTTATTAAATATAGTCAAACAAATTCATGGCCACAAAAGAATTAATTGATAACATCAGAAATATTACTTATTAAGCCCTGGCTGGTGTGGTTTAGTGGATTGAGTGCCAGCCTGCAAACAAAAAAGTCACTGGTTCAATTCCTGGTTAGGGAACATTCCTGGATTACAGGCCAGGTTTCATGTGAAAGTCAACCAACTGATGTTTCTCTCCTTCCCTTCCCCTCTTTCTAAAAATAAATAAGTAAAATCTTTTTTAAAAAATATTATTTATCAATATGTCCTTTTAATAGTCTAAAAGAAATTGTATAGGTAATGCCTAAGACCACAGGATAAAGTTAATTGAATTTTTAAGCTCCCCAAACAATTGTCCCATTTTAACTGCATTATTTAATTTACCAAGCCAATTACCATAGATATAATGATAAGATCAAAACATGAGTTATGTCAAGTTAGAATTTTGTAGTATTCTACTAGCATGCTTAAGCAAATAATGCTTATATAATCATTAACTCCATAGATGTAAGCAAAATAATAGTACTCTATTAGTTATAAATGCCTGTGTAGTAGAAAGCCATTTAATCTTTCTTAAAATAAATAAATGCCTATTTTAAACTCATAAGATGATTGGGACCACATCTTTGAGAAGAAAATGAATTACCAAGCAAATTAATTACTAAAAATCGAGTCAACACAGACATAAAAATGTCTTGTCTGAGTTTAATCACGGAAATCATTATAGAACTACTTACTTTTAAGTATTCACTTCCCTACTTAAGAAGTACTCATTGCATGAAGTATACATTTCAATTTCTGCCTCATGGCATTAGAAGCTCTACAAAATCTGACACCAACCTACTCTGCAGTTTAATCCCCTTCTATCCATTTCTCTCTTTTTGGTACTTCTTCCTTATGTTTCACCATCCCAAGTGATGCCTATAAAGTTTGACTTTCTCTGTGAAGCTCTCCTGATTCTTTCCTGTGGCACAATTGATCCCCTTCTCTCCTCTGGTAACATTTTATATCCCTTCCCTTTGATACTTCTTGTATGATCTCAATTAAGATACTTGTTGACAACTCCAGTTCTTCTACTAAGAAGTTTGCTAGTTAACTAACTAGATGAATCAATGTATGCACGGAGGATAAATGGATCACGGGGCACCAGAGAAACTCATTTTAAGAATGTTTTGGCAACTCCATTACCACTCAGTTCTCTCACTCCACCCCATCCTCTGCCAACACGGAATATAGGGAATAGACAGCAACGAAATTTCTTACTCATGGATGGAAGCTCCCACAACTTCAGGACTAAAAACAACTCTGAAATGGCTTGCCACAAAAAATAAAAAGTATCCTCATCACCCAGGAACTATACCCCTGACCTGCTTTCTTAATTCCCATGACATAGTTGTAATTATGACACTAGAAAGAAATAAGTTAATAAATAAAACTGTTTAGGTACAGAATTTAATTTTAATGTTCAAAAGCAATATGAGAGCTGTCCATCAATAGATGAATGAATAAAGAAGATGTGGTACATATATAAATAGAACATTACTCAGCTATAAAATAAAGAATGAAGTCTTACAACAACATGGATGGACTTAGGGGGTATTACGCTGAGTGAAATGTGTCAGTCAGAGAAAGATAAATACTATATGATATATGATTTTACTCACTTACATGTGTATCTAACAAACAATACAAACAAACAAAATAACAGAAACAAGCTCATAGATAGATACAAAACTGATAGTTGTCACAGGGGAGAGGATGCAGGGAAAGGAAATTAAGAAGTAACAACTTCCAGATATAAAATAAGTCACAGGCATAAAATGTACAACATAGGGAATAGAGTCAATATCATAACAACTTTGGACAGTAACAGATGGTTACTAGACTTACTGTGATCACTCTGCAAGATATATAAATGTGGAATCACTATGTCGTACACCTGAAACTAATATTGTATGTCAGCTATATGTAAAAATAAATTTTAAAAAAGCAATATGAGAGTTAATATAAGTTAGATAAGTCTTTATTTGATTCCTGTCATACATCACTAGCTTACTAAATCCTCGAAGGCATTGGATACTTAAAAGACTAGGTCTTGTTCATGATAGTATCATTCATATACCCCAGCACAGTTTCCTACACGTAACAAGTGTTCAACAGTATGAAAAGAAAGAGAATCACATTCAATCACAATTTATCAACCGTGTCAAGTCAGACATGTGTCCACATCTTACCAAGTTACTATTTAGGCCAATCCACACAGGTTCATTAAATGTTTGTATTTGCATCCATGTAAATGCATTACTATAGGGATCTAGGATGCTAGCCATAGAAGAAGTTTGAAACTTGCAATGTTTCTCTGCTTCATGCCATTGTAACTTAAGTTTTATGAGTGAGTAGCTACTTTGACCATATTTAATAAAGCCATCTGTTGGAACTGTTGCTGGAGAATTAGGCAAGGAAGGATCTGGAATACAAAGATTATTTTCATTAACATTATCAATAAACATTACTTGAGTACCATCAGTACATGACTACTATATTTCATACATCATAAAAAAAATTAGAATAGCACAAATCCAAACCATCAGGTGTTAAAAATATGTCTATGAGCCATTTAACATCTGAAAACAAAGCTCTATTCTTAATCAGCATGCGTGATTGAATTAAATAATTTTTAAACTGTATTTAGAACATCAATGTAATTATATGATCAAATTTCCAAACTTTTTAAAAAATAAGCTTGCAAATTCAATGAGATCTAGTATCTGGATGAAAAAAAAAGAAGACACAGTTTAATCCCATAAATTAAAGAATATCTACCATCCTATCATTCCTAATCTTTATTTTCCTACCTTGGTCAAATTTCAAGATCAAGAACAGTCTTCCGTGCCCTCTCCCCGATCTGTTCCACTCTCTCCATGAATTTATATCTAGTTGAATTTATTTGAGCCCTCCTGTGTGTAATACACCTTCAAGAGACGAGTTTAAGTTCTGGAATAAAGCCATACACGAGCCCCTAGATCATTTAACCTGTATCTCAGCGTCAAGCTGTCCTCTTATTCATGATTTCCTGTGCCTTTCACCAGGCAGCCCATGTCTCATCCAAAACGACTCCGGGGCTGGAGCCCTTGTAAGCCACAGTCATGTTGGCTTTCTGATTTTCTTCAATCTCCAGAGTTAAGTAGCTGCAGCTGAGATTGTATGTTCTGCAAAGCCTAAAATGTTTACAATTTGTTTCTTTCCAGTAAAAAGCTAGCCACCCCTGGTCTAGAGTTCTAGATATCCTTGCCTACCCATTTTGTGTTGGCCACTTCCCTGCCTGTTCCACTCTGCCAGCCCAGTCCGCCATCTGCCTGTTCTGTCGCTACACAAATGCCAAACTTTCTTTTGATTACGCTGGGAAGGCAGCAGCTCAAATTCAGAAAGTGAGAGCAGCCTCCCCTTTCTTCTGCTGTTGCTGCCACCTGGTGTTGACACAATATTATTGAACCAAGAGACACAAGTCAGAGTCCTTAAAATGTTACACTTCCCGGCTTGGGTTTGTCTAAAACATCTCTGGAAGTTTTTTGGACCACTAAAAGTGGCAAATGATGCTTGAGCTAGAGCTAAAAAACCAACAAGGCAACTTAGCTCATCTGACCAATTTGCTTATTTATGAAACATTCATAGAAAAACTTATAAGGAAAAACTACAATATTGAGAGGTTAGGTTGTGGGTAATATTTCCTCTTTTTAATATTTTTTGTATTTTCCAAATTTTCAACAAAGAGGATATTATTTTAAAATATTTTGAAATTTAATCATGTATTTTATGTAAAATATTTTACATATATTTTATTTGTATATCTGTATATGTTATATATATAGATTTTGAAAAATGCAGAAACATATGATGAATGAAGGCATTAAAAATCACCCTTAATCCTACTATCCACATTAAATCACTATTCTTATTTTGGTGCATTTCATTGCCTTTTTTGTTCTTATTTTTATGGGGTTTCACAGTGATTTTTCTTTTTGCATAATTGACAGTCTAAAATTTTATGGCCTTCCTTTTTCACTCTAACATTTTTACACCTTTCCTTAAGCCTAAAGTCATTAAAAATCTTCAAAATATTTTCATTGGTGGCAAATGCTCTATCACTTACATTTATAATCATAAAAAAGGATTTTAAAAAGGCTTGTGAATCATCATTCACTCCTAGAAGGAGCCTCCCCACGTTGCTCAAAGAGCAGAGGAACAGATGGCCTCGCTGGGCCTAAGACGGTCCTGTGGGGCAGAGCCCAGGGCGGCGATTTTCAACCTGTGCGCCACGAGAATTTCTAAGACATGCAATGCCTGACTATTTAGTCAGGGGCTCTGACCTCTTTTCCCTTAGATATGTCAAACACAACAATAGCCATCAGTGTGAATGAATCCAATTATACCTATTTTTTTTGGTCAGGTCAGCAAAAAATATAATACATATATTGTTTGGTGTGCCACAGAATTTTGATAATTAGTTTATGTGTTGTGCCATGGGATGAAAAAGGTTGAAAATTGCTCATATAGAGAAGTGGCATAGACTGCACCAGCTTTCAGATTAATAGAATGCTGGAATGCCTGCAGTACTTTTCATTCATCTGCAAGTATCTTCAGTGATTTTCAGTCATTGTTGGCATTAGTCATGAGCTGACATTAGTTCCCTGTTTCCCCAGATGGTAGGAAAACCTTTTTGTTCTTGAAGAAGTACCTTCTAACTCAAAGTGACCCTCCAAGAGCTGTACTCTGGATGACAGCAAACCTAAGCCACCCTCAGGCCTCATCTTCAGTTGATTTTTTTGAGTCCTGACATTCATCTTGTGTAGCTAGACATATTTATTCTAGCTTCAGCAGAAACTGAAATATGTACAACCATAATCTTGACTCTCGGTAAATACCCACATACTCTGTTTTATTTTCATTTAACCATAATCAGGCTTCCTCAGCTGAAAAAAGGAACACAAAATACGTAGCTATATTTTTAAAGACACGGAAGAAATAATGAAGTATATATGATGTTTTGTGCAAATGGTTCTCAACCTATGCAAGTTTAACCGAGGTATTCTTATCTGACATCTTTTTAAAATAAGAGTTTCAACTTCAGGTTTAATCTGCACAAAACTTTCTGTAATGGATAAGAGGGCACACTCATGAATAAATCAGAGAAAATATCACCAGTTTTGTCTGCCATATGCATACATGGACTAGAGTGAGAATCAAATCTGTCGGTGTGAGAATCCTTTTTTTAATAAGGCTATATTTTTTAGAGAAGTTTCAGTTTCACAAAAAAAAAAAATGAAGAGCTCATTTGTTTAAACAATAGTTGAAAGCACCTGCTCTCACAGGCAGGTGAGGTTTGGCAGCACTTACCAGGAGGTGCTTGGCATACATAACCTCGCTTACTCTCACAGGTGTCGTCCATCCATTTCCCGGCCTCTTTTGACTTCCCTCCAATAATAACAACACAGTCAGCCTGTATATTTGGTGGGGGGCGGGGGATAAAAATTATTTCAATCAATTCATTAATAAGCCAAAAACATCGCTTATCCCTAACCTCCAAATTTTAAGATTGTCCTCATTCATTTACATACAGTATGTTCAATTCATCCTCACTTTCCACACACTGCACCATCTTTCCATGTGGATCCCTCACAAGGAACTCTTGCTATTTAACTGAAAATCCAATAGAGTCAGATACATTCTGGAGCTAGACCTGGGACACTTTGCCATCAGAAATTTCATCAATTTCCTGATCCACAGCTAACATAGTTGTCTTTTCTACCTCTGTGCCTCCAACCTCATTATCCCATGAGCCTCAGCTATTAGGAACCCTCAAACCTACATTTCAAAGATTTTTCACTCTTTGAGACTCATCCTTATGTCCCTTCCTAGTTATTCTTATCTTCCACTGTCCCAGCTCAGAGTCTCTGCTCTAGTCACCAAAACCTGTACACAATAAGCATGTTTCTACCACAAAAATGTATATGAAAAGTTCTATGCGTTCTCTTTATCAAACTGTATTTAATCTTTCCATTTTTCAAGTCCTGAAATTGTAACAACACTGTATATGAATTTTGATTTCATTTTTTGAAATATGAACTTTATATTTTTACACACACTAAGAAACCGTCTAGGAATACACGAAACAAAAAATTAAGTGTTTTTTCATGAAGGGTGAGATTACAGATTTTGTTTGTTTCTGTTTCTGTTTTTCTTTTTGTTTGGAAAACAAGACACTTGTGCAATAATTTCTTTTGTGCTTTACATGAAACTCACCTCTTGTTCCTGAAATCTTTCTAAGCAAAATCTCACTCTGTTCTACTTTAACTTTCAGTAAGTTTTCAGCTCTCATTGATGTAAAAAGGAGTCAAAGAAATCCTCCACAGAAAATCACTTACCCACCACCCGAATGTGTGCGCTCTGTATATAGTTACCAAACTAATTATCATAAAGATGTCAGATTCATAGATGGAAAGCAGGATGACAGCTAGTGGTGGGTGGCAGTAGGTTACAGGGTGGAGGGATTGAACAAAAAGGAAAAAGGACTCATGGGCATGGACAACAGTGTGGTGATTGCTGGGGGGAGGGAGGTATATGGGGACTAAAAGGTAAGGCAAAAAACTATAATAAAGATTGAACTTACAAAAAAATGTCATTTTGATCAGATCCTGCTCAAATCTTTTTTCATTTCTTCTCTGACAAAGTTTAAACTCTTTCACAGAGCATCTAAATTTCCTTAAATTCTGCTTTCTATCTTTCAAAGCTTACTCCTATTTCTTTTCTGCATAAGACCCCTGCTATATCCAAAGCCATTTATTCCTGACCAAACCTACCTTATGCCTTTTTCTGGGAGACTTTTTCACTTTGCCCACCTAGCAAGGCCTTCCCCATCCTCTTGCCAAGTTCCCCTGACCATCATATTTTAAACTTCTTTAGAATAAGACCCCTAGTGATTCTTTCTCATATTCCTTTCCTCTACCCAGAGAGGGTGCCACAAATGTGTGATGACTCATTAGGGCACTTCATCCTGTAGTAAGTTTCTTTTCTTCCTGACTACTATATTTCATAGCTGATTTTAATTATGCACTTTTATTTCTTTACTGTCTTTTTTCTTACATAATACTGTGGTCTAGCTTAACTGTGAGCTTGTTTAAGGTAAAAACAAAGTCTCATGTTTTCCACAATGCTTAGCACGGTGTTTAATACTGATCTGTTGACTATTCAATGATATGAGATTAAAAGTAGTAACATAAAGAGACAATCATCTGTCTCTTAGGTTAATGTACTAAAGCACTTAGTAAACATTCCACAAATGTTAGCTCAATAATGATGATGAGGAGGAGGATGACATGCTTAGAAGTAGTCGTAGCTTCCAGACCTACACCCCAAACACTACAACAGCTTCAAGAGTTTAGAGGCAGCAGTGTGTTCCAGTGTGCCTCCTGGCTACAGCATAGGCCCACGATGGAGCTGGCTTTCCCATCCTTCACTGCAGCCACCACCCACCTCCGAGCTGAAGAGTTCTTAACTAAATTTGTAGCCTTCCCTTCAGAGCTGGCTCAGTCTGAAATAGTTAAAATCCGCAAGAATGAAACAGACCAAGAAGTACTCTGACTGATTTTTCACAGGAGATTAATTGCTAATAAGATTGACTATAAGCAAACTGATAGGGTATAGAGAGGTGACTTGAAATTGAGATTTACGTCTTCATAAGAAAGACTGCTCCTTCTTCCGCCAGGGAAACCTTTCCCCCAGTTGGTATAGTGAACTCCTCGCCCATCTGTCCAAAGGAACGTGTGCTCCGAATTGACATCATTCAGTCCAATCCAAGCATGAAAAGTGGAGTCCTTCATATGATAGGTAAGAAATGCTGAAAGAAAGTATCACAAGATAAATTTTAACTTTGGAGGGAAATACTGAAAATATTCAAAATACATTAATGTAAAATATCAAGCATGTGATTAGTGACTTTATTATTTAAAAGCACTCACTATGAAAACACACACATTCTAACTTTGCATTGTGTTATTGCTTCAGCTTTGGACTTTGAAAAGTTTCGTACAATAAAAGTCTGAGTTTTATCTAAGCCACTACAAACGGTGTGCCCTGCCCAAGGGCACTAGGGCACGGAGACAAGGGAGACTAAAGGGCGCCCCGTGCTCCGATCAAAACTGTGGCTGCCTAAAATCCACAGAAGAGGTACATTTTTCTCATTCATGCACAGTCATCCTATGAGTTAGAAGGCATCCTGATTCTGTAACTAAAATAATCTGATTAGAATTACTAAGGGGCAGAGACAGCTGGCTCTTCATCCAGAAAAGTTTTTAAAATAAACACTATTTATCCAACAAGATGCTTTAGGCTGTCAACTTATCACAACCTTGGTTTGTCAAACCAAGAGAGCTGCCTTTCTGGGGCTCCTCCTGGGCAGCCGACTCCCAGGGGTCAGCAACTGTCCACTGACCCAGGGGACACCCTGAAGCTAAGTGCCCACATCAATAGGAGAGACAGTCTAGAAAAATTCAGAGAATATAGAACAAATATGGCCTCTTGTTTCCTTCTCATTTCCACGGCAGATGAGATGGTAGAAAATATCCAGAAGGAGTAACAGGCTTTAATGGACACATGCCCATCCCCCTCTGTCTGCCGGTCCCCGGGGCCCCCACAGCAGCTCTCTCCCATGCCGGCCACAGCGCTTGCTCGCACCTGTGGGCACCCAGGTAGACAAGCACCAATTCTACAGGACAATTTCTAAACATTTATGTTTAAACACAGCTCCTGAGTGCAAATAGAAAACCAGATGACGAAGCACTTACGTTGCTAAGAGAAAATGCAAAATACTAAGAAGCCTGCAGGGGCACAATTATCTGTTTATTCAAAAACAAGCAATTTCACAGAAAGACCACTTCTCCATGTTTACTCTTTTGCAGAGTAGTAAACGCTTCAGCCACCAATAAGAGGTTTGCTTCTTTCTCAATTAATTAAAGATAAAAAAAAATTTTTTTGGTCTTCTAATATTTTTCAGAAAGAGACAAGAGCATGAGTAGATATTTATTTTTAGTTTTATTTCCTAAAGAAAAGCGTAACTTTTACCCTCTCCCCAACTCGAAATTCAATGAGGGAAAGCTGTACCTGCCAATATGTCAGCACTGACATTTTTTCTGCCAAAAGCCACAATAAGAATTCAACAACGTGTGCCTGTTTTGCCAGGAATAATGTTATTTTATGTGAAAATTGTTTCCTTCTGCACATCTCTATTACCCAGGTTCAAATTTTTTTATGCCAGGAATCAGCCCTTTGTGGTTAAGAGAGGGATCAATTATTGTGTTTCTCTGCTGGGTAGCAAAGCCCAAAATGTGGTAGGCTAGTTGGAGAAATGTGAATATTATATTCTTAAAATCTTTTCACTGTATGCTATGGTTTGACCCTCTTCTTTCAGCACCTGGCAAGTCCCTGAACTTGTTGAAGGTCCTAGGTGAGAGCTTGACTGACTTATTGTACGTGGGTTCCAAAAGAGTGCACAGCAGCACTGACGGAGTAAAATAAACATCTGGGAGAGTGTCATACACTGGTCTGCTGTCTCTTTTTTCTTATATTTTTCTGATACCGTTTCTTTGCAGTAAATGACATCGAAGATTCTTGGAACCAAGGGGGAACTTAGAAATTATCCAGACCACATCTTGTACCAACATCTTTTGCATCAGTTCGTATGCACAACAAACGCTTGCTGAGCATCTTCCACATTAGGTACTACAGTCAGTATATGGGACTCTACAGCATCCATTTGAGTACTTTCCAGTTTGTTTGCACAGCCCTTTAGAAAACTCATGAAGCAGCAGCCCATCCAATCAATTCTAATTGCTAAAATGACCTCCTAAGTTTAAGCCTAAATCTATTCTCCTGTAACTGCCACTCATTTGTTCTAGGTCTTCCTTTGGAACAAACAAGAATGATCCTTAAAAATCCACGTCCTCTCTTTTCCAGGCTGGGAAATGTAAGGGTCCGTTCAAACATTCCTCACTTGACACTTGTTGCAGTTTCCAAACCCTTCATGAGTTTTGTCACTTTCATCTGCATGGTCTAGAGCTGGTCAACCTCCTCCTTAAAGTGACAAGTCACAAATTTAACCTAATATCTATTTCAGATGAGGTGGCCCGGAGAAGTCCATGCAAAGGTGGTCAGGCACCTTTCATCCGATCGCAACATAATGAATCTTACAATCTGCTCTGTGGCGATGGTGAAGTTTTTCCTGCAGGGCTGTTCTTCAGGGCTTTGGCTCATGTTAATTTTATCAAAATGCTTTCCTCAATTTGTTCAAAGTTTAAATTTAAAAATCAGTTTTACTGCATTAGAAGTTATGTGGTAACATGACTAAAAGAGCTGTAAATGGGAAATCAGCAATTTCTCATTTTCTTGCTAGAACAACCCTATTCCTTTGTCTCTTTGGAGAGAAAAACGGTTTGGTGGAAACAGAATGGGATGTAGGCTCAAAGGCCCGGCCTGATTCCCAGCCCTGCTGTTTACTCAGCAAGCGCCTTGACCCCGGGCTCTCTGAGCAGCACTTTCCCATCCACGAGGGGGGCAATGATACCTGCTTCACAGAGTGGAGCTGACAATGAAAAGGGACTTTATACATAAGATGGTGCCTACAACTGAATAAAATAGTTCCCAATATGCTGCTTGATTTTTTTCCCTTTCTAAACATATCATTTACTATCACAATATTCCATTATTTTATGAGGAATATTACATGTTCCAATGCATAATTGGTTGTACAGGGGGCCATATACCTTGTTCTCTTTCATTGCGTACAGAAACCAGATTTCCTCCAAATCCTATGCAAGCTTTTCGTGCCTCTTGCCATATTTTTCTTTCTTCTTGAACAAATCCAAAGATTTTGAGACACTTGGATGAAAGAAAAAAACCCACAGTGAAAAGACTACTGAAAGACATCAAAATTATTTATGAAGATTATAGCTAAATATAAATTTCCTTAAAACCAAATAGAGATTTAAAAAATTAAGTTAGTTTTATTACAAACTTTCTTTGCAAAGCTCTTTTTTCTTCTGGGACAAAGGGTACAACTATTTGGGTAATATCTTCACATGTATTCTTAATTTCCACAGGGAATTTGACATGGGAATCTTGACCTATTCTTGCCTAAAATTTTCTAAAGTGATGAAGTAAGCAAAGGTTAACTTTAAGCTGAAAGATTTGCATTGTCACTCTCCTTATAAGGATTCATGTCAAGACTGCAACTTGTTTTCTTCTTACCTTGTTGTTGTAGAAACTCCACCCTTCCTTACAACCTCCTGGGGGCACTTGCGTGGCAGGAATAACTGTGGCATTGATGCTGCTGTTGTGTCGCTGGCAGATGAAGGGATTTGGATAACCGCAATTAATGTCATTCCAAAACCCTGGCAAACAAACGAAGTCTTAAATTAGATTTTCATGTTTATGTTTAAAAATACTTTTTTAAAAATGCATTCATATATTATAAGGGTTCTCAAAAATGGTTTAGAGTACAGTCAATTTATAATTTACACAAGTCACTCAAAAAAATCAGAGCAACATACTTTCACTCATTCACTTAAACCAATGATAGTTCAACTAACTTTATAAAGAGCTTCCTATGAGCCATGTACATACTTAGTATTGCAAATGTTTTCTAAATAGCCAGTTATAGCAAATGATAATAATCTTATAATTAATTTTATATGTACCAAGCCTTTACTCAGTGTTTTAAATGTATTATCTTGTTTAATTTCTAATTATTCCCATTTTTCATCTAAAGGCAGAGGAGAGAGATAAAGGAGATAACACTCTGGATATTTTCCTCAAATCAGAACATAAAAAATATTTCATGAAATGAGAAGAAGTGAGAAAATTGACTGTATCATTTGAGTTAATGTTAGCATCTGTTCTTAAAATTTCAATGATTATGCTGCTAAAATCATAACTGTCCTTTATTCTCTCTTCTTTTTCTTGTCTGATTTACGTGCACAAGTTACGACTTTCCCTGTACTGAGACAGCAAATGACACACCATACAAGCCAAATCCAAGAAGATTTGTATATTGACTACCTGAATTTGAATACATGACTACACAGTTTTCGTCGTCATTTGCAAAATTGGGTTCACCTGTGGCCCAAGACACATAATTCACCTTGCTTCCATCCATCCAGCTGAAAAAGAAAATTCAGGCATTTAGCAAAAATCCAATTATTAGAATAACTAGCTACAGCCTAGTGGGGAGAGCAGGCAAGTCAATCAAGATGAAGGACCCTAAGCTAACAGAAAAGAGGGTACTAGGAAGCAGTTGTAGACAGAGAGTTCTAGATAGATGGTTCTAGAGAGAATAGCAGAAAAACCCCAAAGGTGGTGGGTGCTTCTGGTGCATTGGGCTCTTCTGCAGCAACCGGTTGCCTTTGCTATTGTGTCTTCTTTGCCCTCCCTGGGAGAAGCCGCCTTTAGTCTTGACGTGGGAGAAGAAATGGAGATGCCAGTTCCTCGGGAAGTGGGCCACACAAAAGTCCTTCCATAGAACTTCTTAGGAATCATTCCCCCAAAACATAAACACCCACGGAGAGGCCGAGAATATGGAGTTTCTCGTGAGGCCTGTTCTGTAAACTTCATGTTAATCTGGTTTTTCTTGTGTGGAGCAATATATATTTTAATAAATTATAGAAATTCAGAGACATTTAGCTGGAAAATGACCAAGAGATCATTGAAGAGATTTCTTATTTCATAGATGATTAAAACGGGTGTTTGTCCAAAGGAGTACCATACATTTCTAATCTTTAAAAATAACAAGCGTAAGGTTAGGTCTCATTCCACAAAAATGGAAATAATAGTCACAGGGAACTATTTGTATGTGGCTAAAACATCTGTGCATGATCCAGGAAGACATATCTGCTCTTCAAACTCAGGAGAGCATGCATATTAATGAAGAAGGCAAGAAACCCCCAAATTTACTAATTTCCTCTCTCCCGCAGCTTTTCCTGGCCTCTGTACCCCACGGAAAACAGCAGTCATCGCTCTGAAGGGAAAGCACCTCATGCAGTTAGAACAGTTTTTCAAAGTTGTGATGTTAAAGCAATGAGAGGGGCAACATTAAAATACCCTTTGGTTCTATGTACCAAGGAGTCCAAGGGGGAACCATAACTTTAAAAATAAAGTTTCATATGTATTTAATTTAGTATTCATATGTATGTAATACATCTTAGTAGATGATTTCCAAACAGGTGATGGCATTCAAAAGCAAAGATAAGTGAAGTTTTGCAAGATTAAATCTAATCTTGACTTACATGAGAATTGGAATGCTGAAATTATTTAACAGAATTATTTTTAATTCTTTGTGGCTTTCTTAAAGATGCCTTTTAGTTTGAGGACCCTGGAGGGTTTTTTAAAAAAGCATTCAGCAAAATAAAATCCTCAAAATAAATTAGGTGTTTATAAGGTCACTATCTTAAGCGAAGTTATTTTATTTTGATTTACTTACACAAACTTTTTATCCAAGCTGATTAATAGACCAATAAAATATGCTGGCTGCGCATCATTCTTGTTTACCTAAAACATGGAAGTTTACATATAGTTCAATCTAATTTACACAATAAGCAAATTCTTAAATAAAGCTTATATATCAATGAAGCAGCCTATTTGAGACTTTTTCTAAGAAGGGATTTATGTAGAAATTTTGTGGTATATTCAACATTATGTTTTTCACAGAAATAAAAAGAAAAATATGCACATTATGTAACAACTTGCATTTATAAAGTAAATACATAAAGTCACTCTTTATAATAACAAATGCCTAGGGTAATTAGGTTGTTGAAGATCATCTTCAAAACAAAGTTGCCATTTGGGATTATGTGTCTAAAGAAAGACTTCCTCATCTACATATATATTTGTGCAATATTAGGAAATATTCTGAGAATTTCAAACTCTCTATGACCCTTGTAAACAAATGAATTTTTATTTCTTTACTACTGTTCAACTTCTTTTCTGCTCTCTCTCCTACCTCTTCTCTGGCAAAAAACAAGAATGCCATGAAGATTTTTAAAGAGAAAGATTGAGCCAAGCACTCTTGGAAAATAACAAATTACACCTTAACTGTTAGCTGACAATTTTGGTACAACCAAGAAAGATTTATATATGAATAATCAAGTTGTCCTATCTATTAACGAACAATTTGATCCAACTAACATAAATTTTTAAATTAATATCAACTTGCACCATATACAAAGGCTTGATATGAACAACTAGTTAGGAGTTACAATCTTTGACCATCAAATTAGTGAACACAAAGCTGTGAAGTATGAGTCCTCACAAAGCCCAGACCACCAAGTGGCTCTGGGTTCTGTGGTTCTGCACTGAATATTCAAGTAATTGGGTCATTCCCTTCTGTTACGGTCAACACCCACCCCTCACCCCTCTGGGATTTACATTTTTACCCCTGACCTTAGAAGGTGCAAATTCAGCACATAATTTGAAATTGCACCGCAGGGTGCCAATTGTAGACACTATCTTTTCTTATCTCATGTCACTGGTCCATTCTTAAGTTAATCATTGTCTTACATATTTCCATAGAAACTTCTTTTCACTTTCACTTTGAATAGAAACAAGATCACCAAAATTCTTCTTGCAAAATTCTCGTGCATCATCCATGGTTTTCTTCTCTTTGCTAAAATAATACTGGTAGTCTTTGTAAATAACCCACCCATCTTCAGTGACTGGTGGATCTGAAAAATTCACGAAAAGTGGTGACAAATTTTACTTTAGTGAATTCAACAATCTGGTATATATGGTCAACAAAAATGAAAAGGACAGAGTAGATACATCAGAGGTATCTGCAACTTTAAGAGACCAGAATAAGCAGGATGCTTATGCCAGATACAGACTGAATTATCTAAGGCCAAATTGCCACTTTCTGCAAACTCTGTAAAAGCTCCCACGTTCTCTTTCCAACTATGTTCCATGTATCTCTGTTGGGTAAAAAGAACTCCCAAAGCTACTTTTATCAATAGGATCACATAGCTGGAAGAATTTACATCCATTCATGATGTTCTAGGTTTAAGGAGAGGAGGCTGTGAGAAGAAAGCAGCTTTAATCTTTATAGAACAAGGAACTTGTAACAGATGGACTAAGGTGTTTCAGTGTATCATGAGAGAACCAAAGAATTCACAAACCAGGAGGGCTCCTAAGGCTTCTGCCAAAACATAGGATTCTATGATCCTGTGTTGTCGTAGGCTGAGTAAGAGCCCCCAAAGATATCTAGCCCCCATCTCTGGGTTCTATGAAGGTTATCTTATACAGAAGAGGGCACTTGGCAGATGTAATTAAATTAAGGATCTTTAGAGGGACAGACTATCCTAGAGTAAGTGAGTGGGCCCTAAATATAATCTCAAGTATCCCGATAGAGGGAAGCAGGGGAGATGTGACTACAGGAGAAGAAAGCAATGTGACAAATGAACCAAGATGCCACATTCCTTGTTCTGAAGCTGGAGGGAGGGCCATGAAACAACAAATGCCAGGAATGCAGCTCTAGAAGCTAGTAGAGGCAAGGAAATTGATTCTCCCTTTGAACTTCTGGAGGGAGCATGGTCCTGCTGATGCCTTGATTCCAGCTCAGGGAAACTGAGTTCATATTTTTGACCTCCAGAACTGTAAGATAACAAATGGCTATTACTTTAAGTCACCAAGTTTGTAGGAATTTGTTAAAACAGCCATAGGACACTAATAGACGAGCTGAAGAAGAAACATATGCTCTTGGATTTGATTCATTAACCCTGAGAAATTGTGCTAACAATTAATTGCCTGATGTCTGCGTTCATGAGCATCTGTCTGGAAAGAAAGATCCAAACTTCTGTGGGATTCTCAAAGTTATTAAGAGCTTCTGCTCCACCTTCCTAAGGGCAAGTATTTTTTTTTTTCATTGAAAGAGGAAAGAGGGGAAAAGGGCTATTGATAATAGAGATCAGAAAATTTAAAAAAACAAAAAACAAAAAACACCTACTGTCTTCAGGAGCTGGTGTTGGCTCAGGTTTTGGTGTTTGTCCTGGAAAAAAAAAATGTAATATAAAGTATGTTGTACTTCATCTATTGCATTTTCTTCTAGTTTCACGATTTTCATGGGTAAAACTTGATTGTTCTCTTTTTTCCCTCCCTCCCTTTCACTCCAATTCTCCTATCAGGCTATGGAGGAGGAGAATGAAGAAAAACAGAAGTAGGAGTTAAGAAGTAAACCAAGTAGGTGCGATAATAGCCACCAGAAATTTAAAAAAGAATTATCAGGCACAACAAGCACTGTCATGCAAAGGACAGAAAAGAAAATGAGTTTTGTAATCAAGATGCCTAGGTTCAAGTCCCAGACCTGGGTTTAAAATGCTACCCTTAATTTTATCCACTGATCTAAGCAGAAAGGGTGAGGAAAATAAGCAGACAGCAACACAGTGTCTCTGGCAGTAGAACTGAGACAGTGACAAGGTTTCCCGACAGCAGAGGGCAATGTGGTTTCATTTATCTGTTTATATAGACAAGTTGATATATATTTTTGGTTCAAAAGTGGGTCTATTTGCTTGCTTTTGCTAGTTTTTTGTTTGTTTGTTTGTTTGTTTTAATATAAGAATCTGGCCCTGGCCAGTGTGGCACAGTTGGTTGGGTATCATCCTGTGAACCAAAAGGCTGTGGATTCGATTCCCGGTCAGGGCACATGCCTAGGTTGTAGGTTTGGTCCTCAGTCATGGCATGTATGGGAGGCCACCAATAGATGTTTCAATCTCACATCAATATTTCTGTCCTTCCCTTCCTCTAAAGTCAATAAGCGTGTCCTCAGGTAAAGACAAAAAAAAACAAAAACAAAAAAAAAACCAAGAATCTGAGTCCTCTGATCTCCATGTCTGAATCGGATATGTGGAACATTCTGAGTGAATATCATGACTGATAGCATGCACTGCTACTTTTTGACCATTAGTAACATGGTTTTTGTTCTTCGTGTTGAACATTTCCTTGAGAAATCAATGCTTGGAATATTAGGACTTAGGAAAATTTTCACCTATTGGATGACTACTGTAGGTCAAAAGGTGACAATTCCAAAAAAGAAATGGCATAGTCATTGCTCTGCTCACAAAATAGAGCACTCACTCCTACCACTGTAGAAACAGAGCCAGAAATCACAGTTCATGGGAACTATTTTGGAGGACGTGACTCCAGGCTAGGATTCCCTGGTGGCCTTTTGATCTTCTGTTCCTTCGGAACATTTATCTATGTTCAGCAACTTCATTCTCATCCTGTGACATGATGGCTCCTTCCAGTTCCTTTATTTTTAATTTTGTTTGTTTGGTTCCACTAATGAAGGAAAGATACTGGGATGTCATGAGTTACTTCTTCAAATTGAAATAAAGGGAAGAACAGGCTATCATACCTTTCTGGATCTGGCAAATCCAATTCTTAAGATGTTCACAGTTAATATCATTCCAAGACATGCTTGGGTCACCTTTCAACTCTCCACAGTATTCAGTACTTCCATAATTATTAGGTTCTCCATAAGCCCAGTTTTCATAGGAAACCTATGTTAGAAACATTATATAGCAACCACTTATATCAGGTCAGTGAAAATCTTTTACCCAAACAGGAAAGAAAAGACATATTTACAGTTTTAAATCCATTTCCTTTTTGTTTTCCACCATAGCTATGCTTTGAAAACTAGATTGATAAACATGGATGGGAAAGAGCTTTTAATAAATGGAAACTTTTGAATTTGAGCAGAGTATGTATGCTATTGATTATTATAAAATTTCTTTTAGTCTCATCAAATAGAATGGCTCTAGGGCCACAGAAGTGGGATTTATATTGTATATAGGAGCAAAACTTGTCAAAGAGCTCCAATGACCAATATTGAGAGTTCCTACATTTATAACACATTCTTAAGAGAAAATATTTTAGTGGGATGTTGGAAACTCTCTTTATTAGATGGGCAGCATAAAAAATGCATTAGTTCTTTTCACAAAATAAGCATACCTATGACATGTTACAAAAAAAGCTACCAAATTTTACAAAAATGAACAGTGGAAGTAAATGGGGGGCTGGGTTTAGGTCCCATAGGCGTTTTCATTGTGGATTCATAGTCATAGAGTTTTGGACTAAGCATTATGACCTATTTTCCAGGGATATAATATTCAAAAATCAATGGGGCCATCAAATATACTATCTTATCCAAGGTCTTTGAAAAGTTGCTGGTGGGTTGTAAGAGGAGGTAGAACTGAAATCACAGAAAATCACTTCCTATGATGACTAATGACCAAATGTCAGCAAGTGCCCAAGCTTCTCACTTCTCCATTCCTGAGACTGGCAAAGTCTGGCAAAGATTGATGGTTATTACTGAAATACCAAGAGTTGTTTCCAGATCTCCTGATCTATAAGAGGCTATAGAACACTCAGCTTTGAAGAAGTTTAACTACTTGCATGTATGCCAGTTTTGCATGATAGAATGCAGATGTTATTTTATATAAACTAGTAGAACGATTTTTCTAATTTTTTAAATCTGGTCAACATGGCTACACCTTGGGTGACTAGGAGAACTATGCTGGGGGAGGGGCAGAATAATAACCCTGAAATAGCATTTATTTTTCATAAAAGAAAGTCTCTAGCTGTCACAATAACCAGTCTAAACAAAAATGTGGATTAATCCAAAGAATAACATTAACATAAAGACTACATGATAATGGAATAAAATGATACAGTAAATCCAATCACTCACAGGAGAACCATCACTCCAAGTAAAGCCCTCTGAAGGACTTCCATATGTCAGCCCCAACCAAAACAGTTCGTGGTAGGTTGCACTAGCCCTGCAACATATAAGACATAAAGAAAGCTTATGCGTGAACAAGTTTGGTGAACTATGAAGACTAATCAAACTTGAAAGTTACCTCCAAATCAAAAACTAGTTAGTACACAGGTAAGGAGATTCAATGATTAAATAGAAGCAATTCATCAGATGTGCATTATGGCACATCACTTATAAAATTTGTTGCAGCATTTATAAAATTAAGGCACTTAGAAGTAAAACTAGATTTAAAAGGTCCCATGGATTTCAGATACAATATAGGAACTCAAAGCAACACCATGAGCTAACAATTTTGAAAACATAAAAATTTTCTCAACATCATTAGCACCAAATAGACCGAAAAAAGGAGTATTGTAAAGAAAAGATACTTACGTTATTAACCGCCATATCGTTTGCTGCTCCTCTTTATTATTGATACTCGCTAGGTCTCCACCCAGAGCTCTGCAGAAATCTCGAGCTTCAAACCATGTTTTCTTCTCATGTATTCCTTTTGTAAATAACTAAAGATGATATAGTTTCAGAAGTTATTTTACACTGCATAGCTTACCAACTTGAGAAATAATTACTTACTTTTGATGAGATTGACTTTAATAAAAAGCAAGACATTGCAATGGCCCAAAATAATGTTAAGTCTCTTGGTTAAAAATCAATTTATGAGTGAATATTTGGGTAACAAAATCTGGGAAATACTTTTATTGGGAACATCTTAAAAATAAAATTCTGTTGATAGCACAGGAGAAATTCGATTAAAATCTTAGAAGCTTTAGGCATGTGGGTTGAGCACACAGCTCACTGTAGAAGACAGGATTAATTTGGTTATGTGTGAAATGTAGCACTGAGATGGAAAAAATTGAAACTTTTGATACAGATAAAGTAAACATGAATAAAAAAACTTTAAGGGAAATAAATTCCCTAAGATTATGCCACAGATTGCCATGCTGTTGGGGTAAAACAATGAATAACCTGGCAGTTTTTCAACACGGTTGGTAACATCCTTCAAAACTGCTTTGTCTTTTTTCCTTATAGATGTATATTTTCACAACCGTTGGAGACATACTCTAACACGCAACTGTCAGAGCATCTAAAAATATGGGTCACAAGCTAAACTAGATTTAATGGATTCATAATTTAAGGAATATATCATATTATCCAGAGCATTGCAGTGAAATGGAATCTACTGAAAGTCTGGGAAACACTCATCAGTATGCAAAGAACTTAGGAGTTCATTGTCTCCAGAAACTTTTATAATTTTCATTCATTGTTTTTCATTCATTGCCCCATCATCCAAGTCCTGTGGAAAAAGGAATTTGCTTCCAACAGACTGTGGCTGCCCAGCTGTCATCCAAGGCAACCTTCACCTTGACCCTAACTTGAGCTATCCAGACAATGGTATCTTGAGGAAGTTTCTGCTTAAGTAACTCTAAGATTCCTGTGACTACCTCAACTTGCTAGACTGCTACATAAGATTTTATTTTATTAAATCAATTTACTATTAGCTGAATTTTATTAATAATTCCCATTTCTTAATCTGTACAAAGATGTTCGATAGATTTCGAAACAAACCCCACCCCAGGTACCTCTAAAACCACAGATGTTTTAGTGAAGCACATTCTGTGGATTTGTTGAACATGCACCTGGATAACATCTCCTGGAACCTAGGCTCACTTTCAAGCTCTGGAGAATTCGGCTGTTTCTCTCTAAATCCTGCAACAAATCTCCAGAGCCTACCACTCTCAAGTGAATGGCTGTGTATAAAATATACCTGGACTTTGTGTAGTAACTCAAAAGTTTCCCGGCAGCAACAATACCTGATCTTTTTTGTGTTTGTCCTCAATTGATTAATGTACAAAATCTCTCCTCTTTTAGCCCAATACATTCCCTTCTGTATAAATTATGTTTGTAGCCCAGGCTGGCTAATCTGGATTAGGCAGTTCATCAGGTTTTTTTTTTGCTATTAATCGGAGTTTCCTACCCAACTAACCATACCCCTCAAGTTAGAGGAGATTAAGCAATGTCATTCTGACACATGTTGATAATTCAAGTTCTTTATCAACCCTGCCTTTCTTAGAAGGCATGCCATGGCCATATGCCATTCACAGGATAAAGTAGCAGAGGTCCTGAGAGAGGAACTTCAGAGAGTAACATCATTAAGCAGTAGGCAAGTACATTTCTGCATTTGGCTAAACCTAACCTTCTCTAGAAAAAATAGGACTTACAAGACAAAGGGAGAAAAAGATCAAATAAATTCATCAGGGTGTTTGGGTGAACTTGATTGCATAAGGAGAAAATGTATGATCTTGCCTGGGATTGTATAAAATAATAGTAAAATATCAAATTGTCATTTAAAAGACACTGAACACCCATGTGCTTCTTCCTACCCAGCAATGCCTCCATCTCCCTGAGACATAAAAATGAGGGGCTACATCAGAACAATGGAGCATTATCTTCAGGATACCTATGTGGCATTATTGCAGGTTCATTTATCAATTCAGTTAACTAAAAGCTTAGTCTCTGAGAATCGGGCAAAAATAAGAAGCAATGGGAAAGAATGAGGGGGAGTGAAAATTTTTCATTGAGATGAAAATAAATGAAAGCTCAGACTAGGGCAAGAAAGTGTGGGGAGGAGAGAACGGCAGAGAAGGGGGTGATGAAGCAAAGCATGAGAAGAAATGCTGCTGTGACCTGTGTTTGCACTGAAGGTCATTTTTTGGTTGTGTAAATGCAGTTGGTCATTAGCATTCATCCAAGGAGAGCTCTTTAAAAATAAATGGTGCCAGATCCCCCTTCCAGATCAATAAAATCAGATTTCTACAGGTGAAGCCTAGGCATGATGGTTTTTGGTTTTGATTTGTTTTCACTTCTTAACCGATTCTTTAGGCTGAAACATACTCCAGATTCTTTATTAGCTTTGCAATTGTGACTTACCTTGAAACACAAGCTTGTTTTACTGGTAGTGCCCCACTCCTCTGGACATTTGGGTTCGGGTGTTGTCGTAGGCTCTGGTGGGTGAGTTACTCCTTCTGCCCACTGTTTGCACACAAATTTTGCCTTTTCTTCACATTTCAAAACATCCCACAAGCCCCCTGCAATCCCAGTTTTCATGGCAACGCACCCTGGTTTTCTCCCTGCATTAAATACATAAAGCAGAGTTCACTTAACAGGTGCTGCTGAAGGCCAGCCATGCTCACAGGAGACAGTTCAAACCTGAGTGTCAAATCGTGTGGTCAACCCAACATGTGAAGAGGAAATTGAAAAGGAGAGATCCTGAGTCATCTGGTCATTTTCTTCTGCTTTTTTGGTTGTCATTTTCCTTTTATTTGTGTGGATTGTGTCCCCAACTGAATTATGATCTCAAAAGTCAGGGCTTCAATAACATTTCACATTTCTAACATCTGGCAGGATACCCCCCTTACAGACATTTAATGATATAACAATTTTAGCATAATAAAATATGTTATAATGGCAAAAATAGTAATTTAACATTTCTTTCTTTTTTTAAAAAAAAATTCTTTAAGATCCTTTTTTTCCCTAGATTCATGTAGGTTTCCCATAACAGAAGGTGTTCATTACAGACTTCAAAATGAGCGACATCTGAGCTAGAAATTTTAGTTTAGTTATTTAATCACCCTGAACTTGCTGCCTTATCTTAAAATACAAATATCACTACCTAACTTACAAAGTTGTAATGAATTTTTTCATCAACAAAAGCACATAAAATAAAATGAAAACTATATCATAGCTTAATAGCTTATAATTCTGTGTCACACTTATGATTATTCCAAATAGTAATTACTGCAGATAGAGCTTTGAAAACAGTAAAATTCCTTCTACTGAGATGAGGTCATCTTTTATTACTATTCTCTTACCTTTTGCAACAACATGGATGGACCTGGAGAGCATTATGCTAAGTGAAATAAGCCAGTCAGAGAATGATATATACAATGATTTCACTCATATGTGGAATCTAATGAACAAAATGAACCACAGGCAAAATGGAGACAGATTCACAGGGAGCAGGCTGACAGCTCTGGGTGGGGGACAGTTAGGGGGTGGAAGGATGGAGCAAAAAAGAAAAAGGACCCCTGGACATGGACAGCAGTGTGGTGGTTGCAGGGGCAGGGCAAGGGTGGCGGATAGAGGTGGAAGAGGGTATAAGGGAGATAAATGGTAATGGAAAAAATACAATACAAACATAAAGAACATTACATGTTTAGAGAAACTCAAAGTTCTGGAGAGGAACATCTTTTCAAAAATATTTTCATTAAGATCGCCGATTCCCTATCGCTCCAGTTTCATCCATTTTTATTCCCTAAGGACAGTCCAGGATTAATTTCCTGGAATGCTACAGCTGAATGAACACCACAGCAAAGATAAGGACTTTGTCCTAGAGTAATTGTTACCACCCCTACCGATATTTTTTTAAGTGTGCACTCAGCTCTTAATATATTGCCTAATTACTTAAAAAAATCAACTGAAATCTTACTATTTTTCAGAACATTCAATAATTAAACAAGAATCACACTACTCATCTTACTGATCTGTTTCTCTTATTGGGAGCTAAGAATGCAAATTAAAAGAGCTCCTGAAGATTAGGACTTATTAGGCTAAGTAGTACATTCATAAACTTTAGCTATTATTTCTTCTTCAGTTCTTTATTCTGGGGACTGCCACACTGAAGAAGGTCATATGCTAGGTCATATGCTAGGACATCAGTGTATAAAAAAGGCAAAGACTCTTTCAGAGCCTATTTCAGGAATTGCTTACTCAGGAAGCAAATCAACATTTACAGGGAGGCAGGTGGTGGTGTAAACAGCACAAATTTGGAAATTACACACATTAGTCCAAATTCATGGTCGGAAGGTTCCTGGTCACATAAATTTTCTGAGACCCAGTTTCCACATCTTTAAAATGAAGATACTTTAAACTTGAGTATTATCTTGAAAGTTTCTTATAAGGATAAAATAAAATCTAACACATACAAAGGACTAAGCAGGGTGGATTATACAAGATACAGAAATGACTTCCACGTAAGCACTACCAACTCAAGCACACTAGTATCTCTATTCATAGATGCACTGAAATGGTGTATAGTCCTTTAGCAGAGTTTTAAGCTTTCAGAAATAAGTTAATCATTTGGAACATTTGTGACCATTCAGGATTTCATAAATATTTTTCAAGTAGAGCAGTAATCAATAACCTGGCAGTTTTCTTTGTTTCCTTAAACCACTGAAAACTAATTGAAAAATTTTTTTAAAATAAAAACAAAAATAGAACAGAATATAAAATACTGAAAGCACAATAATTTATACAGTCATTTGAACATGCACATAAGGAAATGACAGGCTTTGCCCAATGGATGTGCACACTGAATACAACGCTCAGACCAAAGCTCTGCACATACCTGGCATTTCCGCGTTCCAGTGAGTGAACTGAACCTGCTCCTCAATGGTCCACTGAAAGGTCCCTTTGTTTTGTACGTCTGATAGTCCTATCCAAAAATATTTTTCAGGCCTCAATCCAACAAAACTAGTTAGAAAGGCTTGCTCATATCTAAAAAGCAATAATAATAAAATAATTTTTGAAAAAATAAATTAAATTTTAGAAATATTTGTGTAAATATTTCTAATTATCAACATGAAACATATCTCATTTCTACATTTGAGTTATGATTTAGTTGGCAACTCAAACATATTTCATTATATTTATGCTATTTATATTATGCAGATGTTCACTAAGGAAATGTGATCTTATGAAGGTAAAACACCACACAGCTGAGTGAATAAAATCATTTAAATATACTCAAACCATTTCTCTCTCTTTCTTACCAGCCTCTCTGCCCTTCTCAAAATGAAGAGAATTTTCCAAATGAAAAGGAAAAAACTACAGCATTTTAAAATACATTGTTTAAAAATCCGTCCATTTTCAAATATTTCAAATGCTCTCTACAATTTTTGGTTAAATATATTAAGAGGTCATAATATTATCAAGAATGATACAAATGGAAAAATCTGTGTGGCTTTCCCCTTCAATTGCTTTCTCATATCTATGCTCAGAAACAGAAAATTATTAAGAAATATAGAAAAGTTGAGATTTAATCTCTAGAAAGAGCTGAGAGCAGAATCACAAATTCCAACATTTTCTTTCCCTTTGGATCTCACGTATGTATCTGGCGTAATATGGTAATAACGCAATTTGCTTAATAAAGGAATCAAAGTTTGTCTTAACTGACAAATGCCAGACAATGAGACAGAAATGTAGGCAAAAATCTCTCTTTGGAGCAAAAGGAAAGTGGTGGCCAAAGTTTCCAGGAACAAAGGGAGCTGTGGATGACTGCAGAGAGAGCAGAGAGCGAAATGCGGAGAGAGTTCCATAACAGAACATTTGTTTGACCCTAGGCTGAATAATTCCATTCCCTAAACCGAGGAAACCAAAAAAGTAAAAGTTCTACACTCAATTTTTCTTAAAAATCTAAAACACAAATTTAACCACACAGTTAGTGAGCTCCTGAATATAAATATCATAGAAAAGACAAAGAAAAATAACCCTAAAATATAAAATATACGGAAATCTCTGCTCCACTAGACCAAAGGGTCGATCACAGTGCAGGTCAGCACGTGTCCCCACCTCACTTAAAGATGCGCAGCTCATCTCTTCGTCATAAGATAAAAAGTATCTATGTTCTGATTTTCAGGTGTTAGCATAATATCAGGGCACCACAATATATTAGACACTTAATTGTACATGAAAGAAAGATGTGGGTTGAAATACAAGTTCTCTTGTAAAGATTATACAAATTATAGCACACCTTTCATTTTTATCAAAGGATTTCTAATAGCAATAGCATACTCTACATTTTATTGAGTCTGCTTTGAAAGGTCAATAAATATAACTTGTACTGTGACTCAGTAATATTTTACCCTTTTACTGAAAATGACACAGACATTTTAAATTTTCTTTTAAGTTTCTCTTGGGCTTATTCTAGTGCTTTGCAAAGAGTAGGGGAAAATTTAAAAACAAAACAAAACAAAACACTAAAATCTTAAAAGTGAATGGGATTCCAGAAGTCAAAAGTTACATAAAATTCTCTATATCCACATGAATTTCTTGACTTATAAGTCTAGTAAACCTGGCAAAAAGGAAAAGAGAAACAAAAGGAAGACTTGGGAAGAATGAATAAAATATTCAGTAAACCTCTCTGCCCTCTTTTTTGATGGGGAAAAAAGTGATAAAGATAAAAAGTGGGATTTTTGAGCTGAAAATTTTTACTTATTTTTCCTGCTTCAAAAAATTGTCATATCAGAAAAATTACATCCAAACTAGAGTATTAATAAACAATTCTGACTATTGCTTTATAGTACTAAAAGTAACAAAATACTGTATAATGTTTACAATGTCAAATTCAAACAAGAATGTGATTTTTAATTTTCTGCTTTTATAAATATACCTCATGATGCCATGTAATTTACTCAGAAATGTAGAGCACATTGATACCTGGACTTTTCTGAAAGTGTTTCATTATTTGACATCTTAAAATATAATTAAGATTATTGCATACTTGTCTTCAACAGTAGTCAGGTAAGCCTTCTCATTCACACAGGTTTGGTTTGCTTCTGTAAATGTTGAAAGTGTGTGTCCAATCATATAGCAGTAGAAGCCATGTCTTTTCCAGCCCTATTAATGTTATCAAGCAGATTATCACACAAATGTATTAGATATTATTTTAATAATCCCTCTGTCATGAAACATAAACTGACAAACAAGAAAACTAAAAGAACATAAATCTGAATAATTTAAAATGCAATGAAAATCATTTAGATGAAGAAAGGAAACAGTAGTGTTTTATTCCTCATATGACAAACTATGGTACAAAATGGTTGCGGGGGGCAGTCATTCTCTCTCTTCCTGAAGCATCCTCCAACAAAATGATTTGAGAAATGTTTATCAAAACAACTGAACAGAATGGCTGAGATTTCAGTTTCAGAATAGGTAACCACAGGGAACAGTAGGCAGAATAACAAAGCTAGTTGCCTGCTGAGGCCAGTGGTATGTGCTGAGTATAGAGCTGATCATCTCATCATAGGAGAGGCGATACCCAACTTCTGGCAACATGATTTGGTATTCCTCTCCCACATTTTAAGCACACAGAAATGCTGAATAAAAACGTGACAATAAACAAAAAACCCATACTAGAGTTTGAAAGGTAAAAGAAGAACTCTCCGGGCACCAGATGGTAATAGAAGATGAAAAGCTGGGTCCTGACTGCTGTGGCTCAGTGGTTTGGGTGTCGCCCTGCAAACCTAAAGGTCACCAGTTTGATTCCAGTCAGGGCACATGCCTGGGCTGTGGGCCAGGTCCCCCGCTGAGGCGTGCGAAAGGCAACCAATCAATTTTTCTCTCGCACATTGACAGTTCTCTCCCTGTCATTCTCCCTTCCCTCCCCTCTCTCTAAAAATAAATAATTTTTTTTCTTTTTAAGTAAAAGTTGGAATAGAAAATGCACCAGCTGAGACTGAGAGCTGTCCAGAGTGTATCAAACCTAGATTAAGGCACCAGAGTCTAGGGGCTGGGTCTTAAATGTCCACCCAGGCTAAGATATTGACCATCAGCCTAGCTGAGGCAGGAGATGGAATTGAAATTCTTGCATAAAAATTATCCCCATTAAAGGTAGCACCTCCATGAAAGGAGAGCAAAACTCTGCCCACAGAATGGGGAAATAACAGAGATATTTGTCATCTGCCTGGGATTCTGGGTGCAGGGAAACAAAATCTGTTTGAAAATAAATACAAAGCCTGTGCCACAAATGGGTACAGGTCCCAACTTTACACTGTTCAAACTGTATGAGAATCACTGGTAGGGGTGGGGGAAACTTGGTCTACAAAAAGAGAATCTCCTAGGCACTCAGAGAAGTAAATGTGAAACTCACACAGAAATACTTCCACAACCCAGGTCACATGAGGCTATGGCATTTGAGATTTGGGGTGGAGATGGGGTAGGGACTAATTCATAATCAAAAACTACAAATCATGTGAGAAATGTCTCACTTTAAGTGAAAGTTAATAATTTAACATAGGAAAATATCTGGAAAAATATAAAAATAAGTATGTTTGAGATGATTTCAGTGAAAAATAAGAAATAGAATCAATACAGAAGGATCAAAATGCTATGAACAAAGAATAAGAGGATTTGAAACACACAAAAATATAGAATTTCAAGAAAAGAAAAATATAAAGTTAAAAACCAACCTTCAAAATTGAAAACAGCCCTAGACCATGTGGCTCAGGTGGTTGGAACATCATCCCATGACCAAAAAGTTTGCAGTCAGGGCACATGCCTAGGTTGCGGGTTTGATCCCCAGTCAGGGCACATGTGGGAAGCAACAGATTGATGTTTTTCTCTTATATTAATGCCTCTCTCTCTCCCCCACCCTTTCTCTCTAAAATCATTAAAAAATATCCTTGGGTGAATATTAAAAAAAATGAAAACAAACTAAATTTCAGAAATTGAAACTGAACAAAAACAAAAATAGCCTTTCTTTTCAGATGGCTTTCAAACTGATTATAAAGAAAAAAAATTAACAAATCAAAATGCATTTTAGGTGGACATATTTGAACTTCTTCCTTATATTGTACAATGTAACTAGAGAATTATAATACACCATGGTCATTCTCCACATGAACATTAGAATGAAATACTTCTCAAAAAAAAAACCAATGGCCAGATTAAATATAGAAAATAGGGTTTTAAAATGATTAGCAAATTGGATAAATATAGCAGAGAAATTAAAATATGAAAAGAGGTTAGAAAACATATTGAGGTTAAAAAATAGAATGAGAACATCAATCTAAAATATATTTCAGAAGCATCAAATAAAATTAATGGTTGATAATTTTTAAGAATTGAAAAATAGGTACGAGTCCTCAAAACGAAGAAGCGTATTGAGTATGAAACCAATAAAATCAATTCAAATCTTGACACATTTACTAAGCCGGCAGAATGACAAAGACAATGAGATCTTAAAATCAGAAAATATAGTTGACCCACTTTTTGAACAGGAAGGATTGCTCTATAACAGGAATTCTAATGGCAAAAATCAAGGCCAGAAGAAAGTAAAATAATATATAAAGTACTGTAAGAAAATAACTGTCAATCTAGAGTTCTAAAATGACCTATCTAAATTATTATGCAGGGCAAGGATAAATTCAAGACATTTTCAAACACAGAGAAAGAGCCCAGATCACCAGTGAGAGAGCTTGTGAAAGATTTACTTTGGCAAGAAGGAATGTTAAACCAGGAGGAATGGGTAGGCTAACAGTCTACACAGCAAAGGAATAAATAAATGTCTTAGTAAATCCAGGCCTAATTGCCTGTAAAAATAGCAAAAATAACTAATTGGCTATGGGAAGTTAAATAATGGAATGTGGTTTTTCTTTCAATTTTTTGAGTCTAACATTTTTTCAAAATTAAACTTTTTTAAATGTTTAAGTGGAATAATAATCTTCAGCTTGTTCAGGAAGCAGAGAGAGATGCTGAATAACTTTAATTTCAAGTCAGGAATGCATGTGGATGAAACTGGAGAGCATTATACTGAGTGAAGTAAGCCAGGCGGGGTTCGGGGCGGGGCGGGGGGAGACAAATGCCACACAATCGCACCTCTAAGTGGAACCTAATCAACAAAACAAAAAGAAGAGCCAAACAGAACCAGAGATTTGGAAATAAAGAACAACTGACAGTGACCAAAGGAGAGGTGAGAGGGGGATAATGGGAGAAAGAAGCAGAAGGGAGAAGGAAAGGAACAGAATGAAGGACTCACGGGCGCAGACAATCAGGGAGGGGGGGACTGACCGTGGCAGGGGGGAGGGACAGCAGTAGGAGCGAGCAACGCGGAAACAGGTGGGACAACTGTAACTGAACAACAATAGATTTTTTAAAAATAAAAAGAAATAAGGTTAACCATTTAAAAAATAGAAGTAGAATGTATAATCCCCCGGTGTAAAAAAGAGAAAAATGAGTTAAAGATATTCAATAGGACCAATAGGGTGCAGGAAAGGAGAAAAAGAAAGAAAATAAAATGAAACGGTCAACAAAATAAAGTACAAAATAAGATGGTAGAAACTAATCCAAATACATGAGCCTGTAAAACAAATCTAAACTCATATGTTGGCCAGTTAAAAGCCAGAGTTCCTCACATTAGATTAAAAATAAAAACACAGATATATATTTATAAGAACTATTCCTAAAATACAATGGTTAAAAGTAATTAGTTGGAAAAGAGTTTCTGGGGAAATACCAAGCAAAAAGATATCTTCTGTAACTATTATTTAAAATTAATTTTATGACTAAAGTAATTACATAATTAAAGGACTTATTCATCAGGAAGATACAACACAGATCAAGGTATATATAGCAAAAATTAACAGAACTACAAGAAGAATATATTGTCAAGCAGACAAAATATCAGGAATATAAAATATCTGGATACTATCATTGTTAAATTTTATCTAGTCTACATATGTACACCTCTGAACCCAATTATTGAAGAACATTCTGTCCAAACATATATGGAATATTTACAGAAACCAGCTACAAACTACACCATAAAGAAAATCTCAACAAATAACAACAAAAACTTTATATGCTCACGAGGGAGGGAAAATTAAAATCAATAGTACCTCCCAATTATTTAGAAACTAGAAAACAAATAAAACCCCCAACATTACTACCAAAACCCCCTCACTATCAACATATACACACATATGCATGTATACACACACACACACTCTTCTAAATAGTTCCTGGGTCAAAGAAATCAAAAATATTTAGAATCAAATCATAAGAAAACACTACATAACAAAACTTGGTGGCTGTTCCATGGAGTCAATTGCACCTTTTACTTTTATAATTTTAAAACACATTCAGTTTATATCATATCTATTAACTCCTCCATCTAAAGCTCCTAGTGGCATACTAGATATTTTTGAATTTCAAACTCATCTGTGGGACTCCTAGTCAGCCTGGAAAAAGAGACTTCTGTATGGAGGGAATGCACATTTGCATCTGTCAGACATCCTGAAACATCAGCAACTCAGGACCACTTTATGTGAATTTCTTAGCTCAGTATTTCCCACCCAGGTAAGCAATGAATGAAAACTGAATCCCAGATCAGGCCTGTCGTTTAGAATTCCCAAAAAGACCTCTATACCACCCAGTGCCCAGGCCCAGACCAAAAAAAAAAACAAAACCTGTCTTATATTTCTTTGCTGGTGAGAGTTTTTTTTCCTAGTCTTCCCAGCTCTTTGAGAAAGCCATTGTGTAGAGCTGGTGTTTTTAAACTGGCCAAATTATTTAATAACTCTGAGCTTCAGTTGCCTCTTCTACCTAATTAAAACTATAACATTTATCCTTTAAAATCAATGAAAACATAATAACTGCCCTCAACAGTTGCTTTTTATTAAAATATTTTCCCATTATTTTTTATTACCATCCTAATGATTAAATTGAATTATATCAGATTGGAGATATAACAATTAGTAAACTATATATATAACTTTGATTGCACAGAAGTTGTAAAATTTAAGGAGTGTTTCTTATTTATATAAAATTACAATAATATATGATACAGTCTCCTATATATGCATATGATTAGGCAAAGAGTATCTAAGTGTAGTGGGAATAAAACCAGCAGTGAAAGTAAAGTGACCTGGTGACAGGTGACAGGAATCTAACCTTGCCTCTGAGTGACTCTAAGAAATTTATCACTTCTCTGAACTGAGATTTCCAGAATGCAAAAAATTAAAAGTGGAATTTTGATCATCACTAAGATCCTTTATATCTCTAGCAGCCTGTGATTTTTCTGTTTCTGCTCCACGTTTCTTCATGAGTTATTTCTGCAGTACTAAATTATGTTTCATGAATTCTCAGTCTGTTGGTATTTGTTATGATTTGATCACTACATGACAGTTTTGGAAAGAAAATGAGTTTCTACTTTATTTTTGTCCAAGAGAAGTGAGAAACGAAAAAAGTGGAAGATGGGAGACTCAGCAATTAAGCAGGAAAATGATAACCATACACCCAGGATTTTGCAGTGTCTTTTCACTTTTAGAAATTATTTTACAGAGATCATATACCTTAACCTCAAATAAATATAAGACCTGTAGAGGTATTACTAACTGTCAGACAGGTGAGGTGGACACAGAATAAGAATGCATGGCTTCATTCAGTTTAAAGGGGTCACTGCCAGCTACGACCAGCTACAGTTTAGATCTCCCTCCTCTCATTGCAGTGATCTACGGGGAGGGATCCCCACCAGAAGTAGGCACATCAGAAATATTATAAATGGAAAAGTGACTGAGGATTGTTTGTTATTTGTAACTTAAGGTTATCTACTGGAAATGTTCTTGACAATCCATAGGGTCATGGACTACCAATACCTTGATGACACCTTGTTCCATCACCTGTCTTCGTCACCCTCTCCAGGCTCCATTCAGTGTGTCATTTTATTCTCTGTTTTCTTTCCTCCAAGTCCCATGACACTCTGAAAGGAGCTACTGACCAAAGATAACCCATAATAACTGTCAAGGACACCTGAAGGGGCGTTAGGGCAAACAAGGATACAAAACAGTGAAAAATTTGGCTATCTAGGACAGTAATAAAGTACTTTCTCAGGCAAAGGTAAAGCTAAATGTATTATAAAATGTTGCTGATCTGAAATCACTGTGTATGTCTGTACTCACCTTCCCACAGCCTGTTTCGACTTCCACTATTTCTGGCCCTTGGGCTTGTGATTTCATTTTACAGATGTAGCCAAGAGGCCGTTCGCAGGTCTGATCTGCCCAGTACCCATCCTGTGGAAAGCAAAAAGGAAAAACTTAATGATTATCAGTTGTTGGACTTTGACACTATTTTCTTGTAATTGTGCCTCATAAAAGGAAAACAAAGATTTGAGTTTATTAAGAGAAAAATTACATCTATGCAAAAGAAAGGTAAATTGATGTTTTACAAGTAAACAGCAAATTCTGTTTTACTCTGGCTACGAAGATGTAAAGTGAGATTGGAGACCGTATGTTTCTGTATCTTAGCTGTCTGACCCACTGTTTAAAGGGATCTTTTCATACATGGCACCTCCAAGGAACCAAAACAAAACAAAAACAATAACAAAAAAAATCACACACAAATATAGCTCTCCAAGCACAGATTCAGGCCCTGGGACCCAGCAGAGATCTAATGAGGTCTACTCAGAGCAACCAGCCGAAAGTAGAACCAATGCTCAGAATTGATTAGTTGGGCCATATGTATATATGGCACCACTTAGAACCCAGCATAGGAACAATATATGAGTAATAGTTATTGGTTAATTTCAAACTTCATCCAGAATTTTCTGTTGGTTTCTTTTCTGGGCCTCTTGAAAATATTACTTTGCTAAACAACTGAGAGAGATTCAAGAAATTGAATCTGAATTTTGGTTCAAACTTGATCTATGCCAATTAGCCTAGACTAGAAACAATCTAAACAACCATATGCAACAAGTAGGAAAAATTCCCTGTGGCTTTTGCTAGACACTAGTGTTGCCTTACCTTGCCTTTCATCACGACACAGTCTTCCTGCCTGTTGTTTTCGTGGCTTGGTTCTCCACGGAGCCATTTGGTAAATGTTACTGGGGTTCCATCACTCCATTCAAAGTACATTTGAATCTTAATGTCATTTAGGCCAATCCATAACTCATCATTTGGCTCTGTACAAGGAGAAAGACACAGGAATAACTTACACAAAGATTTTATTCCAAAAATCAAGAGGGTATGAAGAAAGAAAAGCCCTCTGCTCTCAACAATACTTCTTCTCTATTGATACTGCCATCCCCTTGAGTGTTAATGTGACTTACATGCTACAGACTGAGATGCGAGCTACACTTTACGTTGTCAACGTTAGCTTAGCTGTGTAATGTACCCTTTACATCGCCAATGTGACTGTATCCTTTCTTTGTGCTACTGCAAATTATGTCCTGAGAGTTGCAAAAATGAACTTGAGGTGAGTCTATCATTACCTTATACCTTGTGAAGCTTTTTGTTGTTGTTGTTATAAGTAATTTACCGTACCAACTGCACTCATCATGTTGGAAATACGGTACTTATTTATATGTAAATCTATCTGACTACTATTAAATCTTATGTAGGTTTCAAAATAACAAGTATTAAAAACCACTTTTATTTTACTGATTTTGTTGTTGTCGATAACATTTTATTTTACTGACTGTGTTGTTATTGAGTGAAAATGATCTAGCTCTACAGTAAAAAGATGCATAAACTGAGAAGTTGGCACCTATTTATTAGCCTATAAATATAAATGAATCTGGAACTATTTTCGTGAAATACTACAAGAACCCAAATAGCAAATAAAGGTTAAAACAAAAACAATCAGGTTTAGATATAAAATGTGATCATTTTGGTTTAAAATTCTATAACTTTTACTATTGATTTTATCAGTGGCTATACTTCTAAAATTCTAACTATCCTAACTAAAATGGGACAATATTGAAGGCCTGAGATTTCATGGCTAAAAACATACAATTCCAAATTTAAAAGAATGAAAGCATTCAGTATCTATTTAATTGCACTACTGTGAATTCCATCATGAACATTCGATTTATCTTAACTATATAATCAACTTAAATGCCAAAGGATTTTAAAGATGATTTTGTATAGTAGAAAATGAGGAAGATGGAGCACTGTGTAGGCATTTCCCTAAACAGTTTAGCCTCTTCCTCCTCAAGTTGTCACTCGACTTTGTTTTTGGAGAAGTCCCTGACTGGCCTGGCGCCAAATCCTGCAGATGTTTCCAGCACCATAAAACGTGACTGACAGTTGCCAGGATGATCCCTTTTCCTTTCACTGAATGTAGCAGATCATAATCTGTTTGAGCAGCCGATATAGGCTTCAAAATGACCTCACATACCCACCCCTTAAGGATTTAGTTTCAAAATTAATGAAAACCTAACTCCTAAGTCTCACAATTATAATAGAGTATTAAGAGTTCTTTATAAACATTCTTCACACTTAACTGTTCTCCTCTAGCTTTGGTAATTCCAAAGCACCATCGTGATCCTTCAAAAATATATAAGTGAGTGTAAAGCTGTTAGGCTGATTTTTATAAACCAGTTATAGAAGCTGTTTTAACTGATGGAGTCATAATTTATGTGTGCAGGTCCCCGTTCACCTCCTACCTTTCCATGAATGACATAAAAGATATTTTGACTAGCTAAAAAAGGTTTCCTAGGCTTTTGATTTAGAAACAATTCCTTTAATTTTATAACTATGCTTTCATCAATATTATTTTCATTGTTTTAAAGAAGTCCTTGTCAATAGTAAAAGAGAAAAGGCTTCTTTAGTGAAAATTTATAAATTCTGAATTTGAATAAAAGCAAACTTCGTCATCTAATTTTCCAAAATAACCATAGCAATAAACATATAAGGTTCTCCTATTAGTATATGCTATTGCACAAAGTACAGCAAGATTTGCACATTACTGCTGTAGCATCTTTATTTTTAATTTTATTTTTTGCAGAATAAAACAGAAATTTATCTTCCCTCCATATACCCCTGTAGCATCTTAACTATTTTCCACAGATATGTTTGCAAACTTTACTACCTATTATAAGTATCATAACTTATATGTCATGATATTACTCAGATACATCAGTTTTGATTACATTATTATCATCCAGGTAAATATAGAATAATCAAGAAATCGAGGCTGCACAGTCTATTCTCATGGCCTACAAAGCTCAGTGAGGAAAGCAGGGGAGGAAGGATTCCGTTTGGCACAGGTGCCAGGAGTTAGCAGTGTTTGGGGATCTTTTAAATCTTTCTAGAAAACTATTCTATTTTTCTACTTGTCAATCGCTTTTTCCTCTCCCCTCCCCCAACTCCTATCAGTTGTCAGGCAGCGTCGGGAAGGGGCCCCGCCATCACCACCATCCATTTCCTCTTGTTTTGTTGGCTGGAAAGGAGCAGCTGCAGCTATTCAAAAGTCTCATCAGTGAAAGCAGAAAACGATAATCATTTAATCAGCAAGTACCAAGGAGGGCTCATTATCATCAGCTTCTCCCTCACCCTCCTCTTCAGGATAAGCATTCCCAGCTCATTCTACCCACTTTTCTTTTATAAACTTTTTTAATTTTTAAAAATGTTACATTATTTAAGTTTCAACATTTTCTATACATTTCTTAAGTGATGTATCTAAAATGGACACATAAGTTTCTTTAAAAGATTGAGGCCAACAACTAACTGTGCCGATGAAATATCCCATTTCTTTTGCCATTCATCATTCCAGCAGCATTAGCTAGGTTAATAAAGAATAAAAATCTCAAGCATGAGATGCTTCATTTATAGACCTTTCTTATGAGGTAAAACATAGCCTTAAAAAAGAAAATACACACGTACAAATAACCACAAAATAAAAGGAAATACTGATGACAAGTTTAAGGTAGAGTGCTCTGAATACAGACTATATATAGAAATACGATATTTTTTAAAGTACCCATAATGGATTACATATTAAAAGAAAAATAAATCAAATTAGCTTAGTGATAAAAAATCTTTAAAATACTATACAATTTTTACATTTTAAGATTTTTTCACATTTATTATTAAATGTATTAAATTGATCATTCAATTATTAATTTGAAATTATTAAAGCTAACAGTTATGATTAAATTTTCTGGACATGAGCGGCAAGTGGGGAAGACACCAGTCAAGCGTGTTACTGATGTAGCTCTCACCATAACCCAGCTGGGAGATAATGAAGTCAAATTCCTCAATGGTGTGGATGCTGGCTAGGTCACCGCCTTCCTTCCTACATGCAGTCAAGGCATCTCTTTGGATTTTCTTCACCTCTCTGTGAATCTTGTAACAGTTACCTGCATATGGCCACCACTGATGTGGGCAGTTAGTAGGCACACCACTTTCTAGAAAAAAAAAAGTTTGGAAATCGTTTAAAAGGGAGGTGTTTTTTATTTTAATTGTAACAACATTTTCTACCACTCTATATAAAAAAGAGTTCATAGTTATGGGCAAAAAAAGGTAAGATTATTTTTTACTTCTTGGCATTCACAAAAGACTACATTGTGTTTGCTTTTAGACAAAAAAGTACACCCATACATCTTTCATTTTAATGAAAAATACAGCTCAATGAGAAATCTCTTCTTTCAAAACATTGTATTTACAGCAGGCTCCATGAAGATACAATAGGCTGGTTTTATCTGTACTTTGTCATCAGCAAACCTGTACTAAGCATGTTATGTAAATGCTGGAAGCACAAAAGTTTTGATATACAATACATTGCTTAAAAGACTTCAATTCATCTCTCCTCTATGGATATCAGAGAGCCAGTCATTCCTCAGAGGAGGGGCAAGACTACTGGGCAGGCATGAGAAAGAGGTGTTGAAACAGGGAATAGAGTGGGGGGTAGGGGTAGAGGGGCCACCAAGGAGCTTCTGAAACCTTTGCAGAATCAAGGGGCAACTGAGCCCCTGAACCAGCCCCACTGCCATTGACTTGCTGCCAAAAGAGGACATGCTTTGTAGAATTACAGGGATTAGACTCAGAAGCCTTTCAGGCAAAACCTGAATTTGCCAGAAGTTGTGTTGGGCAAGTCACAGCCCATGAACCAAAGTATCCAAATATACAAGACACTTCTAATAATATTAATATAAATACTAATATTAAACTACCCATTATTACTATGTTCTGAACTAGAAAACACATTGAGATAATGTGGCTATAAATTACAAATGCCACACATTGACCATTTAATCAAATTGGGAATAGTGGCCAACATTCTAATTATTGCTACTAATCGTTATGGACAAATTTCATAATCTTGATTACACATTACAAAAATACAATGGTAATGAGCTGGATAAGGTCGTGATCTTCGGAGGGTAGTGACCTTGGAAGGCAGAGACTCGCCGTATTCATCTCCACATGCCCTAGAACTGGCATAGGGCCGAGCACATGGTACGAGTGTAGTGAACGTTGGTAGAGAAAAGGACCTGAAGTTATATTTGATACACAGCAGTTTATAATGACCACTTACAGATACTATTTCAAAGAGCAATTTAGCATCATACTTGGCTTAAAGGGGGATTATGTTACCAAATGAATGTCAGTTTATATATTTAAATTTTATATTACATGTTTGTAAGTGTGCTGCCTTAGTAAATGTTCTATCTAGGGCACCTCTGCAATGTGTTTCAGGTATTAGTCTCATTTTCTCTTAAAGGCTGCTACTACCCGCACCATTTTGTTTAAGCTTGGGATTCTGTGCACAAGAGTCATTCAAGTAAATAGGTTGTCATAATGACCAAACATTGTGTTATCGTAATAGAATATGCGTATTTTCAAAAATTCCCTGAATGCAATTTGTATTTGCACACATCCAGTAGTTAACAAAAAATAAAAAATAAAAGACAAAGTTAGTACAGCTCTGGAGCCCTCTGGTGGAATATTTTAGGTTTGCTGCCTAGGAAGCTGAAAATAATGTCAGCAGATTCTCAGGACTTCTAACAGATGAACTTTTAAAATAGTTTAAAACATGACAACAGGAAGTGAAGGAGAGTTCCATTGGGCAATCACATAAGATGGCTTGTTCCCCTAGAGCAGACCTATCCAATCGATATGTCATGTGAACCACATACACAATTATAAATCTCCTAGTTACAATGTTAAATAAAAGTAAAAAGAAACAGGTAAATTTTAGTAATATATTTTCTTTAACCCAGTTTATCCAAAATATTCATTTTACATGTGATTGATAATGAACTATTTTATATTTTTTTTTGCATGCAAAATCTCAGAAGCCCAGTATGTATTTCACACTTACAGCACATCTCAGCTGGGACTAGCCACATTCATGTGCTCAGTGGCCATGTGGTTAAGAGGCTATTAAACTGGACAATGTAGCTCTAGCGACCCAGGAATTATGGACAAATAGGGAAATGTTGCAAAGAGCAACAGGGTCCAAGGTGGAATTCTTGCCCAAGGAGTCACCAATTATGTGTGCTGTATAAGTTGATCTCTGATATGTTTTTGCAAGATCTGATTTATTTGACTTTATAGATAAGATAGATTGATTAACCCAGGAAATACACATAGAAGTTCAAAAACCAATGGGAATGAAGGTTAGCAAGTGATGTAAGGTGAGGAATAGCAGCAAAATAAGAATAATTTACTAAGTACTTGAAAATATGAACAAATGTTCACAATGGGTATCAATATTCCCATTTCATAGATAAAGAACCTCAAACTGGGAGACTAAGTAACAAGGCCAGGTGACAGAATTCTGCCTCCAGTACCAGGAAGCTATGAAAGAACCATTCTCCTCTTCCCCAGAGTGGCAATTCCAAGTCTTCTGAAGGAGAACCATATGAGCTATTCCAAGAAGGAAGAATGATACTACATCCCCCATGGGAGCCATAAAGGAGATAAAATACAAGAATGACTGAAGGTCTCCCTGAGGCAAGCCACAGCATAATGGTGTCCTGTAGAGGATGGTCAAACTCAATAACTGGCAGCCTCATCTATATCCATTGGGACCTTGGCCATATCTCTATCTACTAAAGTTGCAATCACAGCTACTCTTTGACCCAGCAACTTCACCTCTAGGAATCATCACATGTACAAAATGACATGTGCATAAAGTTATTCACTGTAAGATTGTTTGTCACAATGAAAATTGGAAGTAAATTAAACGTCCATTGATAGGGGACTTATCAAAAAATATATATATATGGTCTCTCTCTGGGACGGCTATTGTACAACCATAAAAATTTACATGGAAGTTATTTATGTGCTATACAGAATGATGTCCACAATTATTACTAAGTGAAAAAAGTCAAGAATATTTATATGATATGCTTCTATTTGTATGAAACAGATAAAAATAATTATAAATATATTTGGTTATATACTCATGGAATAAGTAGGTAAGGATATACATTCAGAAACAGTTATTCAGGGGAGAGATCTGGGAGTTGGAAGATGTTGAAAGAAAATATTATTATTTATCATTTGTACTTTTTGACTTTCTATTCATGTCAATCATATTTTAAAATAAATGAAATTGCTTTTAAAATTAGAGGAGAAAAAAAATTAAGGATGACACTGTCAGATTTCCTGAGCACAACAGATACATGCATATGTGTACATAAATGCATATGTACATACATAAATTCCTTTTTTATGATTTTTTAAGCATTTATTTTTAGAGAGAGGGAAGGTAGGGAGAAAGAAAGGGAGAGAAACAATGATGTGAGAGAGAAACATCAATCAGCTGCCTCTCGTGAGCCCTCAGCTGGGGTCCTGTCCTGCAATCCAGGCATGTGCCCTTGACTGGGAATCAAACTGGCAACCTTTGGTTTGCAGTATGACACCCAATCCACTGAGCCACACTAGTCAGAGCCATCAATTTCTTTAAAGTAGAAAGTGTTTCTTCAAAAATAGCTGAGAGTGAAAAAAAAGGCAGTTTGTTTGTTTTTTGCCAATTTATAGAAAGAATGCAGTCTTGCTTTGGCAGTTTAATTCTTCTGTAAAATTATAACACAGGGCATAACTGAATTTTTCCCTCAGGGCTAGCCTATATATAAATTTCATTTACTACTTTTAGGATGTTTTATTCTATTTCTGTGAAGGCTTCAGTATACAATTTTCATTTGAACAGCATTAGAGCCCAGATACACCTTAAATAGTGAAGACATAAAAAAAAAACTCTTTCAGATACTTGTTTTGTAGCTTGGATTCCAAGTCTGTCACATATGCAAGTTTTATATAGTCTTTGAATATTTTTCTCTTCATCTGGAATGTGTGAATAATAATACCTACTTCATAGGGCTGCTGTGAAGATAAATGCTTATTGATATTCTGTCAAAGGCTGTACACATGTGTGAACGCCACAGCACACTCAGGAAATGGTAGGGACCAGTAGCAGTAATCAACAAAAACGAATTTTGTAGGAATATCATTAAGCTTACTCTGTAAATTATGAACCAAGCCTGTCATTTCATACAGTTACAACTGGGCTGTAGCTTTATCTTTAAATTATCATATCTTATACACTTCAGATCAAATAGATCACTTACCTGAGGGAATGATGAAAGTATTCAAAGTTGTGTTGCCCTTTTTACAAATGTAGCCCAGTCTCTGAGCACATTTTAGATTTTCCCATTTAGCATTCTTCCCAGGATTTAGTGACACACAGCTCTTTCCAGGTTCTGCTGATGGACTTCCTTTGGGAAAAAGAAAAAAATTAAGTGGAACTACCATAGCTGTCACAAGTAGATAGCCCCCTCAGCCTCACATCGTCATCTTTTGGGTTTCATGGGTCCCCATTTCATCTTTTGTTACACATTCACAAATAAATAGTTATTGACTGCAGAAGAAAAGCCATGTTGGGTGCCTGTTTTATTGTCGTTGAATCATTCCAATGCCTAAGCTTTTGATTATACAAGTTTACTTCTTTGAAATAACTTTTTTCACAACATCAAATGATAAAGCTAGACCTTAAAACCTGACCAATGATCACACTGGTTTGTTATGTATCATAGAGAGGCACCTAACCAAAGAACACGTGACGTTCCAAACCAGCTCCATTAAACCCTGTTGATACCTACCAAGAAAACTAAGTCAAGCTAACTGGGAGGAACAGCCTAGGGAGTCCTTGGACGTGGGAAAACTCTCTCCAATTAGAAAGAGAAAGACAATGGAAGGAGAGTGACGGGGAAGGGACGCTGGAAGCAGCAAGTGGAGAGGGAACACTGATCAAGTGCCCCCAGAACTACAGCTCAAGGTTTTCAACTCAGCCTACAAAAGATGTTTTAACAGCTAACCCCTCATCCCATTTTTTATGGGAAACATTAAAGAACCAGATAAAATCAACTTTGCTAACATAATAGATACACGCTAGTACTATTTCACACCAGAAGACAGGGTGAATGAGCCACATTTTGTGACTGCTCTGTGGCTTCTGACATGTATATAGCCTGGGCCTGGACCTCATTCTCCCTTCCTGGAAGATGGGAAGCAATTATCTGCTCCAGAAAGTCTTTGTCAAATATTTTTAAAAGTTTCTTGGATAGCACACAAAGAAAAAAATATTAGTGTCAAGATAAGTATGTTTTTAAAATGTGTTGTTATTGTGACCAAACTCACAAGATACCTGAACTAACAGATAAGGTGTCAGTGTCTGTACTAAAGAGAAACTTTCAAGAAACCACAGCAAATTTTATAACTATCGGTTATTCATATATTAACTAATTAATCATGTTATACATTTATTTATCAATACAATATGACTACAAACTTTAATATATCAACTAGTTGTCTTTAAATGGTTACCACAGTTACATATTTGATTCATACTTGTACTTCATTTGTGTAAAATATCCTCACTTCAAATGTGAATGTATTTACATAAATGTGTTACTTGGTAGTAAGTACTCAGTTGAATGCTTGATCGAACAATTTATACAATAACAATTGCTAATATCCCACAGGTTTCTAATATTAGTTTGAGGTAACTCTCATACTGTTTCATAAAGTGATTTAAATTGTACTTATTTCTCAGGAATTTGATTTATTAAGGAAGGATTTATTTTCTTTCTTATTAATATCCCAATTTCATTCCTTACCTTCACTGAAGTTAACTTCCAAATTTTCTCACTGAACTCTTAAAATGCAGATGATTAAATATTATAATCATCACTCCCCAAATGAGTAATAAATAAAGTGACCTGCTTTGCCTAATGTTGTACAATGATTAAGCAACAAAAAAAGAATAAACTTGTTCCCTCATAAATGATTATTGTTGTCTAGTGATCTCATTGACCCCAACTGGTATTCTCCAGTTTAAGTTGACTTCGTGAGTAAGCAGGCAAATCAAACTCTCACCCACAACAAAGGACATCTTATGTTCTTTTGCAGCAATGTTTAGTTCCTGTGTTCCCACGGAAAATAGAGCTGATACAATGGTAAGACTCTAGTGACAGCACTGTAACCACCATGCATTGAAGGTGGTATCTCATAGCAAAATCTAACCAATTTAAACCAAAATAAAGCCTCTAAAAACTCCCTCTCATATTTCAGCATCTATTCTGAATATTATTAGACTGAAGTTTTCCTTTTTTAATAGAATACATTAGTTGTATAAAAAAATGGAGAGCTTAATTATATGAACCAAATGTAAAAACCATTCAATGCTTGAAAGAACAAGTTGAACCATACGAAAAAACACCACATCAGTGTTTTCCATAGCAGAACTGGTAAATGAGGATGTGACTTTTGGCTATCCCTTTCCCACACGCATGGCAGACAGCACTCATTTTCTTTGTACTCTTTCTTATTAAACCACGATTGTTGTGGGGGTGGAGGAGGGGATCAGGACCCTACTCAGTGGAGTGCCTCAAGTAGATCCCAATGCCAATTGGTAATGGTGAATAAGATGAAATTTTTTTGTCATTACTGGTCTTTTTGTTTTCTGATTAATTGCTGTATATGTGGAACATATTATTTAGTCTTCTTTTTTGTTCTGTTACCTGAATGTTATGGCAATGTAAAAATAATTAGTTCAGAGCCTTTCTGTCCTCCAGAAAATTAAAAAGCTGTAGAAGGCTTGGTTTATCCCCCAATGTTTTATACCTAGCAAATCAAGGGTATTCTAAAAATTTATACTGTAACAGAGACCTATATTGATTTGTGTGATCATCCTGCCTGACAAGCCCTCACCCCGGGAAGCTGTTATAACCTGATGGTTTTAGTTGACTCAAATATAGTTGGCAGATTTCAAATCAAGGTGAGAAATGGACTGTATTTGATAGTCTCCCAATTCTTCTCTTTGAGATCTATATTGAGACGATGGAGATCCCCATGGTATTAAGCAAAATTGAGCTTAGATGAATTCCATCCCAGACAAGCTTTACCCTACCTGGTAACCAGTTCAAATACCGGAATGGACTGCCCTCACTCCACTGCCACCCACTGTTCACACTCAGGCTGTTCAGTCCAATCCAGAGTCCTGAGGTCAAGGCGCTGGTCAATCCTATATAATGAAAGCAAAAACAGAAACAAAACTCACATTCAGAAAAGACAATGAAATTAAATTCAGAATTAAGTTCTCATTAAGGGAAATATCTATGCTTTCACACTCCTCATCTGCTTTAAGTTTTTCTAGGCTTGTTTTGAAGAATTAAATTAATTATTACAATAGGGCCTGACACATAGTACATGCACAATAAATGTAAACTACTGCTATTATTATTATTATTATTATTATTCTATATAGGAGTCAGGGTGGCAAAAAGTGGGATTTAGAAAAAAAATTCAGACTTTGTGTCAAATATATTACTTAAAGTGGAGCATCAGCCACAATTTTTTTCTCTGATGTGCTTTTGTAAATTTATGAGACCAAGTGTTCTTACTATAGCATTTTTCTATGACATTACTATAGAAATCATCAGTTCCACATGCCTAACATTTTACTTCTTAATTTTTTTTGCCTGTATTATCTGAAATGGTTATATATCTACTTTTGAACTAAATTATAATAAAGGATGTATTAACATCCAATATTACTCTGGTACTTTTTCTTCTCTGGTGAGGTGCAATTTGTTTTCCAGCCAGCATGAAAGAAAAGGGGCAAACCAATCAGAGCAACAAGCCAAATTTCACTTCCTATATCTGACTTCAGTCCTGCACATATGTAGTTACAAATCTGATTCAGGAATTGAGAATTAAGTACAGTGTGCCAGCATTTTTAAAGTTAGAAACAGAAGTAAGGATGAGAAATGGCAACGGGGGGTGTAGGAATGGGCTGCTTGGGCAGAAGCAGTTAGCCCTGCAGATACTGTGAAATCAGGTTACCAGTTTAGAGTAAATTTCCTGGAGGAAAGAGCTGTTGCTAGTCTTCATTAAGGGTTCTACTTAGTGCTTGGGGAACCACCAGGTCCTTGCCTACTTTTTGTTGTTAGTGAGACCCAGGCAAAACGAATGAAAAGACAGCACTGAATTCCAGTGCAGCTATTTTCTGAATATGACATTAGGAAAGTTTCTAAATTCTTATTCCTAGTCTGTTAACTCCTCTATAAAGTAAGGATAATAATATTCATTTAAGAGATAGGTGCGATCCAGGCATCTCATACACAGCAGCTGTTCAATAAATGACAGGTAATTTGACCTCAGAGTCATAAAACGGGCTTACACATTTTTAAAAAATGATATTTACTCCAGAAATCCTCATATAAAAGGAGCCTTACCTTAAAAGTATAAGTAACTATTTATGGGTGCTTTTTTTTTTTATTTTAGTGGCATGTTTCCCACAATGGAGTAGATCATAATCCCCATTCACACCATTATTTTCTAGATTTTTTTCCTGATATATCCCCAACAATCTCAAATATCATGAATATCTTCCCTCCAAGAAAACAAAGTTCTGTTTTATTTTTTAAATTGCTCATCAGACTTCCCCCCGCCCCCAATGCATGATATTGTTGACTTGGAGAAAAGCGGAAATATTGAAAATACGCTGACTAAAATTCTGGAGGTTTGGATAAGATTTAAATAAGAATCTGAGGTGAACTCAGCCTCTGAGTCTCTCAGGGATTGTTTGCTCTCCAGAGGGACACAACAATAGCCCCCGTGATTAGGGAAGCATTTCCTGCCGCAGGAGCCTGATAGGGAGCCAGGGACCAGGAAATGTGACTAGAGAGGGCAGAGCTGCTGTGCTGCGCATATCTCCGCTTTCCTCTGTGTGACTGAGGAAGAGTTAAAAAGTAACTGTGTTCTGTCCTTTGGCTTCCAGAAAGCCAGAAAACAAGTAAAACTCCTAACAGTCAAGAAAACACAAGTCAGAAACAGATTCTCTTTAAAAAAAAAAAAAAAAGCCAATGGAAATAAAAAAGCCATGTCAATTCTGATGGATTTTTCTCTCATGCAAATATGCACAATAATACCAGGATTGTCTTAAATCATCTTTTCCTTAATCATCTACATGAATTTAGTTTTGTCTCTTTCTATGTTTTCTTATCCTTCTTCTTATTTTTATACATGGTTGTAAATATTAATCACTCTGACATTTTGTCCTAATATTAAAAAGAACAAAAACAAACAACTCAAAAGAGAATTATTGAGCAGACTTAGGCATAATCTCATCTCTGAGTTTATGAATACACACAGTGAGGTCAGGTTGTTCTTCTATGATCAATCTCCTTAATTACAACTAAAAGAAAATGGTGAGTTGTTGCCTATACTGAAAACAGAAAATTACTACATGTTAAGCTTGGTGTTTAACTATTGCAAGATATATTTCATTATAGTGGAGCAGTTCACATTTAATCCTCAAAAATGGACTAGGAATAGAAAAATACTTTTTACCCAATTATGCTTTGTTTGTATATTCTACTAGGGTGTGCTAAATAAATGCATGTCACGTTTTTTTGCCACTAAAAATACAATGCCATAAACAACGTCAAGTTCAACAGAAAACTAATAACTTATGGAAGAAATGTGTTCCAGTAGATGAAAAGCATCATTTGAAAAGAGCTGGACAAAGTGAAACCCTCGGAAATGAAGTAAGGCCGGAGACATGCTCTATCCCTTGGATTGCTTGACACACACTCTACCCTTTAACAAATGAAGTCACTGAGGCATATTCTCAGGTGATCCCTACAAAGGTTCCCCAGCTTCACAGTGCTGGGACCCAAGCAGCCTGGCTCCAGCCTATGCTCTTTACTCTTGCACTCTGCTGCCTGGTGTCTTGTCAGATGGAATTAGTAGGCATTGCTGATAAAGCAGGTACTAAGATAGTGTTTGCCAAGTTTGGTCCCTCAACTGCTTGCCCTAGAATCACCTGAGAGGTTGATAGTATGCAAATTCTTGGGTTGCACATCACACCTAACAATCTAGAATCTCTAGGATTTGCTCCAAGGCATCTTCCCTGCAACAAAGTTCTCTGGTGATTAAAAAGCTCTTCACATTTGAGAACTACCACTCTTTCTGTCCTCTTGCCAAAAACTGACCACTTAACTAAACATGAGTCTGGATTATTAAATAATTATTTTTATTTTACTGCGTCATCATTTGTCAGTCAGCAAACATTCATTGAGACTCTCCCCCTTAGAAGATTCTTTGTGATTCTCTTTGAGGGTGGGGATAAAAATATTCACAAGACATGTCCCATTTTTATCTATTAGCCTGCATAATCCATTCTTAGCACAGCCTTCAGTTTGTTTTCTTTGTGGCACTTACTATAATGTGTATTTATTTGTTGGTTTGTTTTCTTGTTTTTATGTGTTTTCCCTACTGGACTTCAAGCTCCATGTGGACAGGACATGTCTAGCTTTGGTCACCATTGTGTCACTAAGACCTAGCATAATGCCTTGAACAGAGATGTCAGCAATCTTGTTAAATGAATGAAGAAAAATAACAAATGGATGTATTTATACCCTTGTAGGGGAAGTGGGATATATATGTAAACAATTGTCATGACAATGGTAAACAAATGAAGAGAAATGCAGATGGAAATGAAGTAGAACTGCATTTCAGTGGTATAAAATTTGTGAAATTCTAGATACAAGAAAAAGCTTGGGAAAAGATGTGGAGGCAAAAAAGTATGCTACGTGGTTGGGGAGCTCAAAATTTTTCTTTTATCAGTGCACAGAAGACAGTCATTGAATGTCAGGCAAAGGTGTTTTGTGAATTATTTGATAGGAAAGGGGAAGCCACTAAGGGTTTTTCAAACATGGTAGTCACAGGATCAGAGATAGATTAATCTAGTAGCAATGTTAGGGTAAACTGGAGAGAGGGAGGGAAGTCTGGGGCAAAGGATTGGGGGTGCTTTTTCTCCCACACTCATTTTCTTGTCCTTATCTCTCTGTTCCCCAAGTGTGGATTGTAGAAGCTAAAACAAATACTCTCATTTCAACCAAACATTAGCTCTTTTAATCTTCACAATCCTATAAAAACAGAAGCTTTAAAAACAAACACCATGTTGTAGAAAGAGTGTCAATAAGACCTGCAAACCATTAGAAAGTGGGAGTTCTAAAGAGAGGAAACAAAAAAGACTGAGTTTCAGAGCAGCTCTTTAAAAAAAAAGAAACCCTTACCCAAGGACATTTATTTCATTGCTTTTAGAAACAAAGGAAGGGAGAGAGAGAAACATCGATGTGAGAAACATCAATTGGTTGCTTCCCATATGCACCCAGACTGGGGATCATACGCACTGGGACCAGGGAACAAACCTGTCCTTACCAGGAATCCTTTTGGTTACCCAACATCACTCCAATCAAGTGAGCCACACTGGCCAGGGCCAGAGGAGCCCTTGACTTGTCCCTGCTTGTGGTGGCAGCATTTTATTTTATCATTGTGAACTCTGTGATTCTAATGGAAGATAATAACTAACTAATTGTGTTTTCTTCTACTCTGAGCCACAATTAATACTCAGAATCCTTACCAGCACAGGTTCTAGAGACTGCTACAACTGACAGAACAAAGTTGGCTCTTGAGACCAGACCTATTTGCCATCCCAGTGTCTTTTCAAGATGCAAATCTGTCATAACATCTGCTTAGGGACTGACTCCTATCACAATGTCTATAGTCAACTGTGCTGTCTGACTTTAAGACAAACTATACAGAAAGAAAATAATCACGATCTGACACCTTTTTCTCCTCATGTCATTACCTGTCAGGTATGTTTGCTCATGTATTTCTGTGATGCTCAAGAGTTGGGAACTCTGTTGTTGGCAGCTCTTCCTCGCCTGGTGCCAAGTTAAAGCAGACTTGGAGTTTATCTGGTAGGAAATGCCAGTCAGTGGGTCTTTTTTCCATAAGTTTTCACTGCCCTCAACTGTAAAAGAAGTCAAATAGAATTGGCTGTTATGTCTAGAAATGACTTTCAGTGGACAATATTTGTTAAACAATCTTAGAAGCATGATTGACTCAAGTCTTGAATTTCTTTTCCTTTCTTTTTTATTTTTACCTATTTTTAAAGTGCCTATGAGATTCTCTTCATTCCCGATATGGAAAGGGGACATTTTCAAAAATTCAACCACATCCAATCCCTTTCATGTGCCTAAAGAAAGAGAGGGGGCATCACGTCCCAATTTTTCCATTGGCACGTTTGGGATCAGATGAGTTGGGATGTGAGGCAATTACAGAAACTAAGACTAAAGATGTCTACCCAATTTCCTTAATCTAGAAAAAAGCAAAGGGAGAAGACAAAATAAGTATATATTTTCTCTCAATATGTGTATTGCCTGCACACTTTGGTCATTTTAGACCAAAGACGCAGACACTAGAGGGAAGACCGGGGACTCCACAGATTCATATGGACTTGCACTTGGCCTGGTCACTCACCAGACGTTTGAGCTGAGCTAACTTGTTAATTTTTGGAGTCTCACTTTCTCATCTCTAGAATATGTTCCGTATAGGTAGTTCCTGGCAATAGGAGGTGCTGATTGTTAGTTTTTCTTCTCTCAGAGGAAAAAATAAATACCTTAGCTTTTTTTTCTTATGTTATTTTATGATTCCCAATATATTCTATAAATTTGATTATGCTCTATGAAAAGCCAATAATATAGGTGTATAAATTTTATTTATAGCGTTTTACTTATGTCTGATGAATTAATCAAAAAAATAAAATATTATTGTGAGTGTCATGTCATGACAATTTCTCTTTTGTCTTGTTAGTAATATAAAATTCTATTTATAAGTCATGTGAAGTAATAATCTTTTCATGTATTTACAATGAAGAAAAAAAGGATTATGTAATTTCTAAAGTTTTCTGAGAAGTATTCAATTTGCTAAGAAATCAGGCAGTTTTCCAAAAGCAGCATATAGCCTATGCTACTGTGAGTTTTTTTTAATATAACAAGGAAGTGACCTTTATCACACATATACCACATACTATGATATGAAACTTGTGGTTCCATGGCATACCAAAGAGGAAGAAAAGTACATCAAAATTCCATTCAGGCAACAATGCAGAAATTTCTAAAATGTTTTAAGTATAAAATCAATATGTATGTTAATGTTAAAAAGTAAATTTGAATTAGTAATAGTACACTTAAGTCAGCACGGTCTGAGACTTCATTAATTGAAATGTCCAAATGGATTTTTCTCCACATGAGATCATTCAAATGACACTGTTTGAGGTTTGTTTGAAGATGGAAATGTTTAAAAAGTATTTTTAGAAACAGAGTTTTTGCTTATAATGTAGCAAAAAATGTGAGATATAAAAAAGGGGGGATTATTTTTTATCCAGGAACAGAGGAAAGGGATATAAATGGCCAAAAAAAGAAATGCAATTTGACTCCTCTCTTCCTTTAAAGAAAATGTATACTGCCATTTAAAACAAGGAATTAAAACCTATTTGTCATTGAATGTATAAGTTTACTGACTATATATCTCCTCCACTTGTTCAAATTCTCACAGTAAAACAGCACAACTAATCTTGAAAGCTAAAATTGCAAGCTATGAAGAACTGAGAGAAAGGAGTCTTTTTCTTTTTTATTCTGATAATGCTTGAATATAAAGGTCTAAATGCAAGGAAAACTTTACAATAAGTAATGCAAAGGACATTTATCAGGTGTTAAAAGGTCAATATCTAGTACTTCATCCTCCTGTACTAAATGTTTAAGACTAATATAAAATAAAAATGTTCTTTTGAAAGGAACACAAAGCAAGGAAAATGAAATAGATTGGAAAATTGCAAAACCCTTTTAAAAAGGCAGGATATGTACTCTAAAATGTGCTTTAGGTTTTAATACATGTTGCAATCAAACAATTTTTTAAATTTTCTACAGTTTTTTTATATTTACATGTAATAGGAAAAATACGTAATTTAGTTTGGAAGACATAAACTACAAGTAACAGGACTTAAAGATTATTCTAAAACATACTCAGGAAATGCTTCCAACACACACCCATTCTAGGTGGTGAGGGTTGGGGGAGTCGGGGGAGGGTGTGCGTGTGGGGGGGGGCGTGTGTGTGTGTGTGTGTGTGTGTGTGTGTGTGTGTGTTTAGTGACTGGCTATTTATCCTCCATTTAATGATTAATTAAATCATACTTGCACCCCACAAGACCTTTGTCAATACGACTTAGGTGCAGGATGCTATGAAATCCATAACCCCTAAGAAGCTCAATAATAACAGACTTAGAAAATACCATTCCTACTCAGTAAAGGAGAAAGACACTCTCTAATCACTCAAAAACAAGGACTGCTTCATCCTAAGGAAAAAAACAGCTCAGTTTTGCCTTCTAATGCAGAGATCAGGTGTATATAAACCTTTCATGGTAATCAAACCTTTGAAGGTTGCTAACAAGAGAGGTAAATATATTTATTTACCTCAGCTAAGAATGAGAGAGCCGCATCACTATGAATGGGAAGCCTGAGAGTTTTGTGTGGTTTTCACCCAGAATAGAGAGACTAAACACAAAGGACAATTACAATACATGGAGCTAACAAATGAAATTTATTTTTAGTGAGATGTTTATGGACTATAAATCAACAGAGATAAATAAGCATGATTCTTGAAATTCTGGCTTTCACTTGACAAACTAAAACAGTCTTAGAAATTGGGTTGTCTTACACAATGCTTAGAATAATGTGCTTGTGTGTGTGTGTGTGTGGGTGGGTAGATGGGTAGTCCCAAAAATCGAGTTCAAAATAATGCTATTTTAGGTCAGACGGGCGCACCAGCACCCCAGACTGCATCTGGTGCACTTCCCCTGTGCCCTCCCCTTTACTGGCCAGCAGTGGAGAGAAATCTGGTTAATAGCAGGAACTAGGACCTGCCCTGATCCATAAAATCTGAAGTAGCAAGAGGTCAAGAGGTAAGAAATTTAAGGGGGAAGTATTGAAAAGGGGGATCTGGCACAGGAGGAAGATGTGGGTGGCAGGACAAGTAACATAAAAAACTCTTGGCTCTTACTCCCTCAGCCTCATCGGTGCCTCCCAACACAACGCCCTCCTCCGCCCCATCCCAACCAAACCTGCTGCACTTTTTCTTTATGGATCTTCGATCATATTAAGAATACCAAGGATTCTTATGCTCTGCCCCTTCCCGTCAATGTAATATAATACCACTTACTTTGCATTTCTGCAATACTACTTAAATTTTCACTTTGAAAAATGCTTCAAGCATAGAATTAACCCACTTCCAGTTGACTCATTGCTATGTTAAGTACTCTTCTTGATTAAATTTAAGAGTATCATTCCTATCGTTTTCACAGTGAGCAGCCCTTTTCATTATATTCACACAAAATTCAGGGGCTCCTCATATCTCTGCCTCTTTCCATCAAACCACATGCCTGTGACATTGTTTAAATTCTGTTTTTAATCTACAGTTTAATAAGGGTACATCATTGGAAGATTGGGGAATGGCATGTTTACCTCTAGTATTAAGTATATACTGAGTTATATACATTATAACTTGCTTGCCCTAAAGTCTTAGAAAATAACTGACAGTAAAATTGGAAGTTGAAGAAAAATAGGTGGTGAAAGTAGAAGAGTTATTTGATGCAGCCCAGTGTTAAGAGTCAGAAGATTTGTGTTCTCGTCTTCAGCCAAGATGAGTAGCTTTCTCCATTATAAAGTGGGCACAATGACATTTATAATGGTTTGTGGTGAAGCATGATGCAAAAATAAATGTGAAATAACTTTGGGAAAAAATGTTCTAGATAAGTGCAAGAAGTTATCACTACATTGCCTTACTAAATGCACCAAACATTTCTTGATGATAAAGTTACTTACATTTTAGTGGACAATATCCGTATAGTTTATCCGTGTCATAATCTGCAGTGGTTCCACACCAGAGCCATCCATCCGAAGCCCCAACACTTGTGCAATCTGCATACCACTTGTTTTCAAACTTGAAGGGAAATACACAGCTTGCTCCATTTGCATTGCCCAGTAGTGTGTACATGGCTAAAAGAAACATATTGACTTGCACTTAGAATGAAGGTGATGCATCTGCACACTGACTCTTCAGTAAGAACCATACCAAAAGGCTGGTCTTACTCTTCTGATCACGCTTGATGTCCCTATGTAGGGGGTTCCTTTTCATTTCTCTTCTCTGTCTATCCCGGTCTTTGCTAGGTATATACTACAATCTGTACTTAGAAATAACTCTACCACCACTTCATTTCTGCTGTCTTCTGGAAGAGATTTCCTCTTTCCTCTTGTCATGCAAAAGTAATCAGCTCAGTTGACACCAGCTTTTACCTCTGCATTTCCTCCCAAAGAGAGATGAGGCCATCCTTCCTCATGGTTAGAAGCACAGAATTATGAACTCCCTGGATTGAACATTTTCTTACAGTTGCGTAACCCAAATACACAGTAAATACTTACCTCCCCTACAATTCCTGCTAAGCCAGCCTCCACCTGAGTCCCTCAACAGTGGCTATGGGGAAGGATAGGAATTTGAGTATAACTCTAATCCACATCATGGAAGGAAATCACTCAAAACCATTAGATACCATTTATAATCAATACTATTCCTTTTAAAAATTGGATTCAGCCCTCGCTGGTGTGGCTCCATGGGTTGAGTGCTGGCCTGCGAACCAAAAGGTCACTGATTCGATTCCCAGTCAGGGCACGTGCCTGAGCTGTGGGCTGGGTCCCCAGTAGAGGACACTTAAGAGGCAACCACACATTGATGTTTCTCTGTTTCTCTTTCTCCCTCCTTTCCCCTCTCTCTGAAAATAAATAAAATCTTTAAAAATAAAAATAAAGCTATAAAAACTGAATTAAACTGATCAAAATAAGAAGCTCTGGGTTCATCTACAAAGGGAAATTGAAAAAATATAAAATCATTGTTCATTATGGTCTGGCTTAAGCCAAAAGGATTTGAGAAGCTCAAATCTTCACGGACAACCAAACTACTCACCTCACTAAATTCTCCAGTATGTTTAAAGTTTCTGTCTTTGTAGAGATATTCTCTTTTGCAGATAATGACACTCTATAGCATTTAGCCTCTCTCCACCAGTTGATATTTGGTGGAATTTGTCTCAGGTAAACATACTCTTTTCTTAATTAAGTTTTGTAGATTCTATGACTTTAGAAAGTTCCTAAAAGTCATTTATATAATATAAAGTATGTAAAACACATAGCACAGCACCTAACATACATTAAAAGTAAAAAAAAAAAAAAGTAAGGTTTTGGTTGTTTTTTTGTTTTTTACTTCCTTTTGTTTTCCTTTATTCATTGTACTTCTCTGGTGCTTCTTAAAAACTAGGCTTATCTCCAAATACCTCAAAATTACTTTTTTGTCAATTAGCTGGTTTGATTCCAGCCCTTTTTCTCATTAAGTTACAGGACTAGTTTATTCAAATCACATATTGTATATGGAACAGGCTGATTTCAAAAATAATTATGCCTTTCTTATGCACTGGGGTACCTGATCCTTCATATGAAGAAAACCTGTGAAGACAACCTCAGGGCTAATTGTCCTGTTCGCTAAATTAGCCAAGGAATTTTCAGTGTTGGGTTTATAGATGTCAGTCAGAAATGTCCTTTTCAGCACTAACTTGATTTATTTAACAAAGCACTGATGAGGCCAAAAGAACCAAGCTGCACTCCAGCCACTTCATTCACAAATCATGGAATTGCAGTCAATTCACTCTTCCTCTTCTGGTCCAAAACCCTAGATAACCCTTAGATCCTTCTAAGTCTGCAATTCTGACCCTGGTGTTCTAAAATAATCCCTAGTCTCAGCCAGTTTTCTCTAGAGACTCAACATATACACACTCTACATTGCCTTCAGTTTTCAAACATATTCCAATGAACGGATTCTAAGATCACTCTGAAAGGCTAGATATTCTACCAGGAAAATCTTAAGTACAGGGAGAGAGTTGGAGAGTATGCGAAGTGTGGTCAATGGACCTCTACATCCAACCACCCTAGGCCCTTCCTCCAATGTGCTAATTTAGAATCTAGGTGGGAAGGGGACCTTGGAATTTGCATTTTAACAAGTTCTCCAGATGATTCTTTTTTTTTCCAGTGTTTTATACATTTATTTTTTTTTAGCCATAAACTCTTTTTGATGTGATACCAAGAAGTTATAGAGATAGCAAGATCCAGATGATTCTTAAGCATAAGTTTGAGAACCACTCTCCTAAACCCTATGCATATCCTTCTCAAAGAAAACAGAATAGAAAGGGGAGAGGAGTACAGAATTTCATGACGTATTTTAAAATAAAATAAGAAGTCTGATACTTAGCACCAACCTAACTTGTGTTGAATCCCCCAATTAGGACTATTGTCCTGTCTGTGGAATTCGACTCTGTCAAGTCCAGTCCATCTGTCAATTTTCCATCAAGTTTCTCCTGGAAGATTACACTTTATAAAATAGCTGACTAAATATGACAAATTAATTCCTCAGCTTCTCAAATACACATAAGGTGACTAATCAGGAACATTTAAAAACTCAAATTATCAAGGAATGCCAAGGTTCCACTTGAGGCAATCTGACTTGCTAAAGAATGTTGTTCCATGGGTCATTTCTCCAGGGATAAGTTAAACCAAAGGAAAAGAAACATTGTTAAATTCATTTATCACTACCACTGTATAATGTCAAATGAGAGGCCTTCAGTCAAAGACCACAGTGAAAATTAATTTCTAAAAATTGTAACTCATAGTTTTAAAAAATTTTAACTAAAGTTTTTTTTAGATGTTTTCCAATTAATTACAAATAGCTAAAGTATCACCCAGGACATTTTACCAGATTTACTCGCTGTCATGTTTTTCATAGAATACAGAGTACTTCAAACAACAAAAGTAATCAATTAACCTCTTTAGTAGAGACTAAACAAGAATAGGCTTATTTTCTTGAATTAGTTTCCAACTAAGAAGATGAAAAAAATTTGACAGAAAAGTAAAAAGAAAATCATGCTTATTACCTTCATAACCTCTAGAACATAAATCATCAGTGGTCCCATAGATCTTCCATCTGCTCCATAGACCCGATCCTTTGTAAAGCATAATATTCTTTTCTTGTCTATTGCCATAGTTAAAAAATAAATCTTCTCCCTCGATCCCCAAAAGTGTGTCATTTTTGCACTCCCATTTCTGCAATTCGCTCTTTGAGTCGCAGGCATAGAGAGTGACAGGAACCCAATCTGTTTTTGATGACACCCCCAAGCAAAATTTAAAGGAAATACTCATGATCTGGGACTCGGACACCCATCGGAATCTCTGTGCTTCACTGTCCGGGTTGCAGACTGCTGTTTGGACGGCACTGGCGCTTATTGCTTCCACACAACGCTTGTGATCTTCATTATATATTAAAAAGTGCCTAGTGTCTGTCAAAAAGAAAAAAAAGAAATAAAGAAAGGTGGATACATGTGACAAAGACAATATTCTAGGTCAAAAGTTCCCATCATTTTCATTTCCCTGAAGATTTATGATCACAAGAAGAGGGATGAGGTTGGCCCTGCCTGAGCCCACGCAGCTCCCTCTGAGGGATCCAGGGAACGACAGACTGTGTTGAGAGGCACACATGGCCGCCAGCAATCGTTCACTGTAAGGAGCATTAGGAAGAGTCTGCCTCGAGTAAGTAAACACGACCAGTAGCTAATAGGAAAAGAAATAATACCCATCAGAGAAAAGAAAATCTGGATAGGAATACAATAAGCGATAAAATTAAATGCATGTATCTATCCTGGAATAAAATTTTCAAGCCTGCCTCACCCCCAACCTCTTTGAGACAGATGAAACTTATACATAATTATTCTAATTATAACATTAGAGATGTGTTTCATAACTTAAAAAATAATTTTATTTTAGGAAATTTGACTTTCATTTAATGCCCTGCAAATGTTTGAACTAAGTGCTTTCTGGGTATTCTGGGTCTAGGCAACTAGAGAAATTTTTTGCTTTATGTTTCAGGGTAACTTAGAGACCTACCATCTATAGAAAAGTTAGTATCTATATATAATTTTATCTTTGATTCATTGACACACCCAACCTCAGCTTTGTACAACAAAAAGATACAACAATGTACTTAAAAGCATAAAAATTTGTGAAGCTTGAAGTACAGGTTAAAGAAATGTTTTTTACATCATTCAAGGTAATATTTATATGGCTACCTTTCCAAATAATTGGTTTTTTGTGCTTGTGATTTGGAGCTTGTGATTTAAATAAATACGAATAGATGGTTTATGCTTATAATACATAACTGCTGGCTGGCAAAACTCAACTTCCTCTTGCCAAAAAAGAAAAAAATGAAAGAAGAACCTGGTAAGCATATTTCTCTCCTTAAATCAAAATTGAATTCATGTTAAGGTTCTTCTTTTTTGTTGTTTATTTTTTTAAGAATAGACCATCAAAAGACACTATTTTGATTTTGTGATGTAAATATAAATTAAACACTTCTTGTGAAATTTTACTAAATTCCTCTATTTAAATGGATCTTTCACAATGAGCTGGTAGTATTGCGGATTCTTGAGGGTCTGACTAAATGAACTTACTATTTTAAATCAAATCGTCACAGTGAAATACAACAAAGTAATAATGGTACCACTAGCAGAGTCATTCACTGTTTACAAAACACTTTATCAACCATATTCTATTTATTGTTTCAACACCCATCTGAGGTTAGCACCACTTACACTCTGAGGTCAGTTCTTAGAACATCAACTCAGACCTTATAATGGATCTTTGCCTAAAAAATTATTTCCTCCTGCCAAGCTCTTATATTTGCTTTTATCCCACATTTGTTAGAGACTGCCTGTTCTATCTCGCCTGTGTTCCTAATTCGGTGCTCCTTCCCCGAATGGGTTCCTCATTTCTGCTGTTCTGATTTCTTGTAACTGGAATACAGGGAAGAATGAATTCAGAACATCTGCGTCGGTTAGCTTCCTTAGAACTGGCATGTGTCAATCCAACATGCAATGCAGGGCTGAGTCTCCTCCCATAGAGCTCAACTGCTGCCTGGGCTTGATCTCACTTTGTTGCTGCCCACATCCTAGCACGAAGATTTTCAACTTTTTTCATCTCCTGGCACACATAAACTACTAAAATTCTGTGGCATACCAAAAATATATATATTTTGCTGATGTGGCAAGAAAAATAGGTATAATTTTTATTTAAAGAAATAATAATAGTGATCACCTACTCTTTTTGCTCCAAAGTGATTTTTTAAAAATTAGGTGCCTATCCTTGTGTATAAAGATTTCTGATACCAAGAATTAATCAATCAGATGCAACCTTATTATACAATATGACCAATAAGATGCAACTCTATTATATGACCTATCTATTTATGGGTCAAGGTATTGGCCCATAAGGGTATTCATCAGACAGCTATTGTCCTGGCTGTTGTCATTTTTTTTATTTGAAAATCTAAAGGAAAGGAGGTCAGTGCACCTAACTAAATAGTCAGGTATTGAGTTTTAAAAATCGTTGAGGTTGAAAATCACTGTCCTAGCATGACAAAATGAGTGGCTTTCTGCATTAGCAATAAAATTAAATTTTACATAATACGTTTTGTTCACAATAAAATACAAGAAATCAGAAAATAAAATGTTTTTAATACAATTACTATGATAATTTACCACACATAAATGTAAATATAGACTCCTCTAATCTAAAAAGCGAATAAATTCTGAAATTTTGTCCTACACACAAACACACACACACACACACACACATACACACACACACACTCAACTATATTGCCTTTACATTTAATTTGTGTTTGCTCTTCCATCTTTTGTTTTCCTACCTGGACTTACCTTCCACTCTTCAGAGAGTTTTGCTCAGTAACATCTCATCATCAGTAATAAATATATCTTCCACGTCATACTTCAGTCATTTGATTGTATTGTCAAGCACCCAACACTTATTAACCACCCAAATTTAGTCAACCAACAAGCTGGTAATTAGCCATTTAAGGAAAAGTGCTTGAAAGTTTTTATGCACAAGTAGTACTCCTCTTTCAGAGGTTTTTATATGTATTTGACTTTTATTTCAAGTACTTAATTTTCATTTGTAGTTTGATTTTAATTTCACTCTAAATATGATGATATTTCATGAACATTTAGTCTTCTCTTTCTCATTAATGGTACCATCATCCTCTTAGATCCATAAGCTAAAGATTTAAGAGTCATCTTATATCCTCCGTTTTCCTTTACTTTCTAGGACAAACACAGACTCTATTGGCTCTACTCCAAAATATACTTTGTTAATTTTGTGTGTCAACTTGGCTAGGTCTTAGCACATAGATATTTGATCAAACTCCAGTCTACATATTGGCCATGAAGTTTCTTTTTATAAAGATAAGATTAACATTTAAATCGGTAGATTTTGAGTAGAGCACATGATCTGCCATACTGTGGGTGGGCCTCATCCAATCAGTTGAAGGCCTTCAGAGAAAACAGACTACGGTTCTTGAAGAAAAGAAAACTCTACTTCTAGACTCTCTCTGAACTTGAACTGAAATATCAGCTATTTCCTGAGTTTCCAGCATGCTAGTCCATATCTATAGATTTTGGACTTGCCAGCCTCCATGATTGCATGAGCCATTTTCTTAAAATAACTAACTCTTGAAAGATGATAGATGAAAGAAAGATAGATAGATAGATAGATAGATAGATAGATAGATAGATAGATAGACAGACAGACACATATTCTATCAGTTCTATTTCTCTGGATAACCCTGACTGCTAAGAACCATGTATCCTAATTCATTATTTTCTCTCCATTTCCACTGCCACAACCCTAGACCAACCCACCATGGTCTTGCTCTGGTCATCTTCTCTTTGAAATGGAATCATCAAAGCAGGTAATGCACCCAAGAGACAATAACCAGCCTCCACGTGACAGCTCACTAAAGAGGGCATGGTCCAGCCAGGCCCCTCTGCCCTAACCTCCTCTCTCTCTTGCTCTCTTTCACCACTTTCAGCCACAGGACTTTTTCTCAAACACCTCAAGATCATTTCTGCTTTAGAAGTTTCATATTTCAAGTTCCCTCTTCATGGAATGCTCATTAAAGTCCCAGCTCAAGTATTAGCTCCTTAGCAATCTCATTACCCTAATTTTACTTTTATTTTCTATAGAATATTTATAACCATCTAAAAATGTATTCTTTTTAAAAATTTTACTTATGCTTTGTCTGTCTGCTTACTGGAATGTAAATACCATGAATAGAAAGACTTTATCTTTTGGGTTCAGTACTGCGTTCTCTCTTTTTGGAGCATAATAGCCTTTTACCAAATAATTGAATGAATGAAAAAATTAAATCTGAAGCATCTTCCTTAGCAGCCCAGATATATTATTTTCTTTAATAATATATTAATGATAATGAGTCTATTTAATATTAATTTTCTCCCTGAAAGTTTATTTGTACTGAAGAGCAATTTATAAATGTTTATATTTATGAAAGAAATACTTGGAAATGAAAAGCTTCAATTTCAATACAAACTTATCTATTCTTGTTTCCTTACGTTTATCTTTGACCCTAGGAAGCAGTGCAAGTTCGATATTGTTTTTGTCAGGCAGCACAAGGAAATGTAAAATTATCCTTTTATGGTCATACATTCATACATTATTCTTCTCCCAACAAGTCAACATGTAGTTTTGCTTTTATCATTGTTTGTGTGCAATGTTTCTGATTTAAAATGTCATACTTCCTCCTTTTAAAGTGATTCAAGGCCTTGAACAAAAAGCAGCTTGTGGCATTTTTGCCACCATAAACCACACTAATGTTTTATATTGTATGTGTACGTGTTCTACTTCTTTGTTTATACTAATTGTGCTCTAATAGGAATATTTCAGAGAAGCTGAACAAATGAGGACAGTTGCGCAGCTAGATTTGTTTATCTGCAATCTCATTTTTGGGCTCAAATGTGTTTCCTTCTTTTTAATACACATCAGAAATTTATGGACAGAATTGAAAAGGTCTTCCTTCCATCTAAACTATCTTACTAGTCTCACATTTATTTCTCAGCAAGTATGTTCCAGGTACCATGCCGATGACAAAACGAGAGACAAGTTCCCTGCCACACTGAGCTCACACCCTGCTGTGTTTAATTAATTAAAGAGCAGAAAACCTAAAGTCAAAATACACTGAGGGGAGAAACAATGTGTTTCAACCCAGTATCTCAGATTAAAAATAACTGACATCCAATAACATAGCTGTGATTTTTCTTTTAAATGAGTTTTAAATTCTTCCATAACATTGAGCAAGTAATTGCATTTCCAAACTTACTACCAAAGAAAATTAGATTAAAGATGACTATTTAGATATAGAACTATTATCACATTCTATATTCCCTTACATTTTTAGACTTTCCTCACTATC